TAAAAATTGGAAAATAAACAAACAATGGTTGACTTTAGATACATAGCTATTAATGCATATATGAATGTTACATTGTTTGTATGTAATTTAAAAAGAGTAATTGAAGCCTTAAAGAAACCACGTTCGTATGATATACTGCTTGTATAAGGTGAGTCCCCCCACTGCATTTATCTAACCAAAACTATTGGAAAGATCAAGTCGACCGAAATGTTTACAGACGCCGTCTATATAATTAGACTCTTCGAAATTTACTCACACACTTTCAATATAAATTATGCCCCAAAATATTTTTAAATTAATCAAATTCTCGTGGATGTTGTCGACATATTTATTTTAAAAATATCATACAAAATATACTAATAAAATTGTGTTGCTCAAAAATGCAAACTTCTGGCAATCTTGTAAAATTTGACAATAAAAAGATTGAATTGTGTGCTTTTAAAACTAGTACAAAAGTGTAGTAGAGTTCTCCAAAATGTATACCGTTTTTACAACCTTTTATGATTTTCACTACGGAATGAGTTTAAGACTCGCCTGTTGTAAAGTGGAAGGGACCAGCACGTGTACCATAAGCCAGGTTCGTATTTAAGATGTTAACCGACAAGAACTCTGCCGTGCTGACTGTTGTATTTTAAGAGTAGGATTTAAAAGTAAGAATGGATTTTTCACTACATGAATTAATAATAATCGATGAATCTCTACACAAATCCGTCAGCTTTCAGCATTTGTATGCACAAAGTACCGAAGTACCGGTTCTGGAACGTAATTGTGAAATTGCGAATCTATTTATTGAGGATTACAAAGAGAACCCCGAGCAAGGTAGGCCTACGGCGGTATATAGTTTGAAGAAGTATACAGGCAATCCGATACCGACTAGTACATATAAATATTACATGCGAATGCTTTAACGCTACTATACTTGACACATATAATTATATACACTCATGGTAGATATAGCTCACGCAATCCTCATCAACAATTATTACAATCGGTTTACGTTCATTCCCGAGTAATATAAGAATTTTCCACAGTAATGATGTGACCGAGTGGCATTTTTCTATCTGTGACATGTTTTGTTAATTTTGCAATAGTGCCACTTACAGTCTCAAACATGTTTCCTAACCAAACATATTTGCTTTTATTTTATTCTATTGCTATTCTAATTGAATTGAAAATGCAACTTTATGCTGGGAACCTTTGATTCTCGAAAAAGGTCACTTTTAATTAAAATTTTCTGCAAAAAAGGATCATTTTTGAAAAAGTTTCAGAAAGTTCTTTAAAAGTAAAGTGTGAATAAATAATTTATGGGCAAGTCCGGACTAAATACCTTTCTTTTGTAGGACAAGGATTTTGTGAGGTTACGTGCGGCAATTCCCCATTAATTTTCGGAAATTTTGGGTGCATTTTGTGTGTCAATGTGAGCAGGTACAGTTCCAAAACCCCAAATCCGTTAACTTAACAATACCCGAAAAATGCCATAAAGCAACACAATGGGTTATTTGCAAAATCAATCGCGTTGAGCGTCTTCCAATTTAACCAAGGTACATAAAATATGAAAAACTTTCACTTTGGTATTAAAGCGACTGACACCTGAGTTGAAACAATGGAAAATTAACGATAATTACAACCGAATTTTACGCGCTTTGCGAGGAGGCAATTAAAACGTTAAAAATTTTACTCTTGCATGGCCTAAATAATCCACAGATACTTTCCATGAAAGTATAGATAGAACTTTGTGTTTTCTGTATGTTAGCAGGCCCCCTGTAATTTTCGATGAGATTTTTTTTCTTTCTTTTTGAAAACGGAGACGGTTTTCTAAATTTTCCACATATCAAGTACATTAAAGCGACATCTGCTCACCTTTACTATTTATATTATCCACATACATGCGAAATATTAAGTATATATTATAATAGTAAGTTTGATCATAAATTAAATGTGCGTATTAATAAATTATAAAAATGACAAGATGAAACAATATAAATGTGTAACAGACGTTCATGTGTTTCAAAATTCACTTTCAAATTTTTTAAATATTTTCCTTTATAGCGCTGCAGTATTTGAGGATTTTAGATCAAAATTAATTAAAATTAAATCATCAAATTAATCAAACCTGAAGTTTTCTAACTCTTCTAAATATAAATCCAAATTTTAAAATGCAAAACGAATTTCCGGTTTTGTGTGTGAAATTTTTGGCCCTTTGTAATTTATTTAAAACTGACAAACGTCAAAACACCGTTTTAAACACCGAATAAACCGATTGCTCCCAGCCCGGGAAGATTGCACTATGCACTCATCAGTCGTCATCTTTTAAATTAAATTTTGTTGAAAATTTTTTACCAAACTATGGGGAACATTTTCTCAAAGAAACTTCCACTTAATACTATTTACATATCTTCTGGATCCCTTCTGAGTTGGATATTGATAAATTGAACTTGCATCGAATTGAACACAGGAGGATTGCAGAAAATTTGTAAGTAATGTGGGGAAAAAAGTTGGGCATTGCTATTTCATTTTTGACATGAAATGACATAACATTTCGCGCCATTTCGTGGGTTGGTTTATGTATAATCGTTGTTTAAATTTGTTTAAAACAAAATGCTAAATGCTGATACTAATACTAAATTTTGGAATAGTGTGTTAGTATAACTCACTAAGTTGTTAGATAGCTAACCAAATGTTCACGTTTAGCGGTTAAATTGAGGCAGTTAAATTGACTATTGTCTGGTTTTAGAAAACTCCTATATGCTCCTATACGCTTCATATTTGTTCCGAAATTTAGGTCAAATCATAAATTGGAAGGTTTCCATTGTCGAGTTCTAAATGCGATTGGTACTCAAGTTATCGGATACGGTTTTAATTTTACGCGTCGCCATAAATCTGCGGCGATCACGTAGGTTCAGATCCGAACGACGGAGTGCATGTCGCAACAAAACGAATTTAAATCAACTCGGACGACAATTTCCCGAGGCATAATTCATAACCATATTTTTAATATCAAACCATCGCGAACAATAAACTTTCTTGAGGAGGTTTTATTCAATCTCAACGTCGACGAGAAGACAATGTCGTAGGTGCGGCCGCAGTAGGCTGCATAAAAGCCAAAGATGAAACCTTTTCGTTATCAGAATAAGCCCACCGACTTATTATTTTACAGTTTCGGATACTATTGTTACCCAAATGGTTAATTCTCCATGTTGGTAAACAATAATTGCCTCCTTTGTGACATTGCATAGAAGTTTTAGCTCGTGATAACATATTTAAAGAAGTTGCATTGGACAGCTCTGCCAAGAAAATCTCTTTATTATGAGCAAAATAGTAGGGGATATAGTCAGTTTAAACGAGGAAAATCCATTAATAGTATATTATGCAACAAGTTCGGTAAAGGGCATTTGACTCACGAGTTTTTAATAAACGAGTGAGTTAAAAAGTTTACCGAACTTGTTGCATACTATACTTTCTCTACGACCGTTAGTTTTTGGGTACATTTCGCAAAACAACACGAATACCTTCACTGTCAGAACTGACAAACGTCAAAATTCAAAGCGTGGGAAATATCTCCGAAAACATCCGATTGCTCTAACACCCGTGCGGTCATACCGGAAATGTCGGAAGTGGCTCGGATTCATGGGAAACGAAACTGACGTGGTAAAGTGACGCTCCCGCATGCTAGAACTGTGGGTAATTACGCATTTTACAGACGGGAGCAGAAAATAGTATATTATGCAACTAGTGCGGTAAACGGCATTTGACTCACGAGTTTATTTGACACGAGCGGAGCAAGTGTTTAATAAACGAGTGAGTTAAAAAGTTTACCGAACGTGTTGCATACTATACTTTTTCTGCAACCGTTAGTTTTTGGGTACATTTTCGCAAAACACGAATACATTCACTGACATGACTGTCAGAATTGACAAACGTCAAAATTCAAAACGTGGGAAATATCTCCGAAAACAGCCGATTGCTCCCAAACCCGTGCGGTAAAAGCCCGGAAATGTCTGAACTGGCTCGGATTCGTGGGAAACGAAACTGACGTGGTAAAGCGACGCTTCCCGCACGCTAGATCGGTGCGTAATTAAGTATTTTACATAGTAAAAAAGGAAATAAAAGTCATTGATAGCAGATTAACAACAGAATTTTTTAATCAAATGATTTGGTTACTTCTCACTTTACCAATATGTTTCGTGGGCTGAAAAACAATTAATGTTTTACCGAAGATCGCAGCAATAATTTCTGACAATAGAACAAGTATTTTCAACATGGATGAACCGATTTTTATTAACTTTTGCAAGTTGTCATCAACAACATCAGGGATGTGCAATGGAAATATTAGATGCACTCAAAATATTGCTTTTTCTCCATTGGTGTTGTCCAAATTGTTCGGTAGTTACCTCTGATTTTACTGCGATTTCTTCGTTGGGCAAATGAAAAGAGCGTAAGATTGACTAGTTGTCTCAAGCATTATTTACAAAGAACAAATTTTCAATGCGAGGAGCATTATTTATTGATTTTTTAATTTAATTTACTGTTCTAATTACTTTTCGTAGATATTTTTTAGATACTTTTGTCAACTGTTCATCGTATCAAACTTAGGTTTTTTCTTTTTTTTTGCAAATTTCATCTACTTTCCGAATACGAAATCAAAATTATATTATCCGTTGCAAGCGGATAAGTTGTGGGGTAAAATTCGAGGCTTAAAAACAATTTACAGAACTTTCTCATACCCGTCAAGTCATAAAATTTTGTTCCGGAAGTTTCAGGTCTCTATTTTGGTTCGAAATTATATTCCCCTTCTGTTTCTGGCGCATTCGCCATTATATAACACAGAATAAATCGATTCAGTATAATTCCAACGCCATGGAAGCGACCAACAAAATTAAAGTGCCTGAAGAAACAACGCAACCGCAGAAATTCCAGAACCAATATTTCCATAATTTTAATTTGCGAAGTGTCGCACTCTGAAAGCCGCGCAATTCGGCTATTAATAAAACTCGTCTTGGTTTAAAATTAGAAAGCACAAAGCGCCTTTCAGCGACATATACGCTGGACTTTAGTACGATGTGTGTCACTGTTTACTAACACCATTTATTTATCCGCGTAGTAATGTTGAAATGGGCATTTGTTATTAACCTTTTCTTCAGCTGCGTTTGGTGTCAAGATTCGGAATACGCCATAGGTAACTCACCCTACTAATGTCAATTTGATTTTCGCCTCCCCAGATGTTTAAAACTTTGACTCTTGTCTTTAGTCGGTCTCTTCGAAGATGGGGAAGATCCCGCCAACGAAAAAGCGTTCAACTATGCCATTGAGCAAGTAAACGAAGAGTGGGGTACATCTCGGTTGAGTAACCTCAATTACTATCTCGCTCCAGATGATTCATTCCCGGCTATCAATCTCACTTGCCATTTGGTGACCAATTCCGTTGTCGGAATCTTTGGCCCCAAATCCTTATACAACATCTACGGTGTTCAATCTGTGTGCGACGCTAAAGAGGTACCTCAGATCCTGTCGAGATGGATCTATGATCCACTTAGATCAGGTACACTATTCAATATCATTGTGGAAACCACTAGCAAGTTTTGATATTTCAGACAACGCTGTAAATTTTTACCCACACGCGTCTTTGCTCACACAAGCATACAAAGATATCATTACCAAATGGGACTGGAAGGCGTTTACTGTATTGTACGAAGACGACGAAAGCCTATTGCGTCTATCGGACTTAATATTAACTTCGAAACGGGAAAATAGAGTAGTCAACGTGGAACAGTTGGATAAAGAAGGCACTGGAAACTACAGGTTCGTTAAACTTCCTTTCGACATCATTTTATATATAACGAATGTTTTAGACCCGCTCTAAAAAGAATATGGAAGTCGCAACAAAAATTCATTGTACTCGACTGTCACATTGATCACTTGGTGGAAGTTCTTACCCAATGTCAGCAAATCGGTCTTATAACTAGCGACTACAACTACTTGATTACCAATCTCGACGCCCACACTAAGGAGTTGTCGCCCTTCCAGTACAGCGAAACCAATATTACGGGGGTAAAATTTGAGGGTTTTCAGAGAGTTTAAGATTAAATGATGATAATTTTAGATCAGAATTATCAACACAGACTCCAAAAGAGTCCAGACTGTTAGCATGGCTCTTTTCGAAGATTCCTTTTTCCCGTTAGAAGCCGCTTCGCGTCTACCAACCGAAACTGCACTAATTTACGACGCCGTGATGATGTACTCCAAACTACTTCGAGATGTTGAAGAGTCGGAACCTCCTCTAGGTGTACCTTTGGACTGCTACGCTCCAGGCAGTTGGAAATATGGATACACATTAATGAACTTATTGAAAACGGTAGCTAGCCCTTGAAGCTCCTCTATGGTACCTATGCGTTTGTCTTCCAGGCGAGTTACAAAGGCCTTACAGGAAATATTCAATTCAACCAGGAGGGTCACAGGAGTTCTTTCGGGCTTCAGGTGTACGAGCTTAGGGAAGGGGGCATTATTGATGTCGCCTACTGGAACTCGTCAACTGGTTTAAACATGACCAAGAATTACTCGCCACCCGTAGTCGAAGACCAGGACAGCATGCGTAACAAAACTTTTATCATCGTCATCACCCTGGTGCGCATGCGATGTCTCCCTCGCTTTCAAATTGAGTAGACACGTTTTAGACTGATCCGTACGGTATGCTTAAGGAGACGTCGGAACAACTGGTAGGCAATGATCGATATGAAGGATTCAGTATGGACTTGATACATGAGCTTTCCTTACTGGAAGGTTTTAATTACACATTCACGGTGCAGGAGGATGGAGCTAATGGTAAAAAGGTGGGGGAACGGTGGACTGGTATGCTGGGTAAAGTCATATACGGGGTAAGTACTGTTTAATTAATCGCCTAATAAAACACTTAAGTTTTGCCTTTTAGGAAGCTGACATGGCCATCACAGATCTGACGATAACATCAGAGCGAGCAAAGGCGGTTGATTTCACTTCACCATTTATGACGCTGGGTATTTATATGCAATGGACTATAAATAACATTCCAACCTGTTTCTATATTATAGGGATTAGTATTCTTTTCCAGAAGCCCTCGAAAGCTCCGCCGAACTTTTTCTCTTTCGCTGAACCATTCGCGTTGGACACTTGGATAGCATTAGCAGTAGCCTTTTTCGTTGTTTCTCTGTCGTTCTTCCTTCTAGGTAGAATATGCCCGGACGAATGGACCAATCCCTACCCTTGCATCGAGGAACCCGAATTCTTGATTAACCAGTTTAGTCTCACAAATTCCGTTTGGTTCGCAACCGGCGCCATGTTGCAACAAGGTTCGGAAATTGCACCAATGTAAATGCAATCGATGCGGCTTAAGCAAAGTCCAACTTAATGGATTGTGATTTCAGAGCGATTCCAACCAGATTAGTTTCTGGCGTTTGGTGGTTTTTCGTGTTGATTATAGTGGCCTCGTATACAGCTAACCTTGCCTCGTTCCTCGTGACGGAAAACAACCTCGAACTCTTTACTGACGTCCAGAGTTTGGTCGAGAAAGCCGAGGAGCATAAAATCCGTTACGGGGCTAAAGCAAATGGCGCCACTTTCGATTTCTTCGATGTACGTAAACTGTCAGCATAATTGTTGATTCCGGTGCACACTTTTTTTAATTATTTACTTGCTGTATTTTTAATATTATAAGAAAAGTGAAGGCAATGAACTTTACAAGAAGATAGCGAAGCATATGAAAGACCACCCCGAAGATATGCCGACTGACAACAAGATCGGCATAGAGATGGCTGAATCGATGAGGTATGCTTTTTTCATGGAGTCCATTTCTATAGAATACACTACCCAAAGACATTGTGACCTGAATATGGTTGGAGATAGACTTGACGAGAAAGGTTATGGCATCGCTTTGAGGAAAAGTAGGTCTGTCGGTTCAACGGGTGGAATCCAATCAACTCTTGGTACGTTTCAGATTCGCCGTACAGAACGAGGTTGAGTACGGCCATACTTAAACTTCAATCATCCGGGGTGATCGATAAAATCAGAAAGAAGTGGTGGGAAGAAAGAAAAGGAGGGGGACAATGTACGGTAAGTGGTTCGCCATATTGCTCGAGAATATATCCAACATGGAGTCTTTCTAGGGAGATGCCGAGGAGACCGAAGCTACCCCGTTGGACCTTCAAAACGTCGAGGGAGTGTTTTACGTCACGGTGTTTGGAACAATCATGGGTGCTACTCTCGTCTTTTTCGAATACGGGTTTAGCATTCTGAGAATAAGCAAAAAAGCGAAAATAACTTTTCGGGAAGCGCTGAAGCAAGAGCTCAAGTTTTTTGTTAAATTCAGCAGTAACGTGAAACCTGTCATCGGTTCCGGATCGGAAGAGGACGATGAGAAATTGCACGAAGAATCGCAGCCCAAATCCGAGTCCAATAAGTCCAAAACTAAATCGGAGACACCGAAGACCACCATAACGGACAATGGACATGAACGACCTTACGGGTTTGTGGTACCAAGAAGCCACGGCGAATACCCTTAGACTGGTCTAAGTAGAATTGTTTAGTGAAGTAACAATAAATCCGTTTGGGATATACATAGGAGAATTAAATTTATTATTACCCTATGCAAAAGCGTTTATACTGTTCTTGTGCTTGTTCCAGCTTTGTTGAAAACCTAATCCCAAAGAAGATGAGTTTAATATATATCGTTATATTAGCAATAAAATAAAAAAATAAAAAAACTGTTAACGTTTTCAATTCGGGTGCCGTTTTGTATATGTGAATTCAAGGTCATAAATTTTGTTAGTGTGTAAGTTATTAATTGTATCAAGTCAATTCAACGTTCTGTGAGGTTTTTGCATCTCCATCCCTGAAGGCATTTTTTTATGCGACAACGAATAAGATGAAAGAAATTTTTCTGTTAACCTTGCTTTTGAATTAAAAATTTATAGTTAAATATATGGAAGACACTTGAAACCTAATGTCATATTTGAAGGCAAAATCTATACATACACACACACACACATATATATATATATATATATATATATATATATATATATATATATATATATATATATATATATATATATATATATATATATATATATATATATATATATATATATATATATATATATATATATATATATATATATATATATATATATATATATATATATATATATATATATATATATATATTCTCACGTATTGATTCACGGATGGAAAAATGTGATGACACTATATTCCGGGATATCATCCGTTCGCTCGTTGAACTCCGACTGGAATCCTGCATCCGACTGGAATCCTGCAAATCTTGCATCCGACTGGAATCCTGCAGACGTTTCGCCAAAATCTCACTTGGCATCTTCAATGCTCGCGCTCCGAAAACACTTCGAACACTGTTCGAAGTGTTTTCGGAGCGCGAGCATTGAAGATGCCAAGTGAGATTTTGGCGAAACGTCTGCAGGATTCCAGTCGGATGCAAGATTTGCAGGATTCCAGTCGGATGCAGGATTCCAGTCGGAGTTCAACGAGCGAACGGATGATATCCCGGAATATAGTGTCATCATATATATATATATATATATATATATATATATATATATATATATATATATATATATATATATATATATATATATATATATATATATATATATATATATATATATATATATATATATATATATATATATATATATATATATATATATATATATATATATATATATATATATATATATTGATTATCTTTTATAAAAGAATTTTTGGAAGATTTTTTAGAAAACCGACAATAGACATATACCACAGTAGTGGTACTTAGACATCAAATGGCTGTCCTCCCCCCTTATGAAGCTAGAGGAAGCTAGCCTCTCTAAAAGATAAGTTAACCAGGTACGTCATGGTTGCTACCAGACTGTCAGCAACAAACTTAGTAAGAGAGCACGGAATTCCAGCCCCGCCAGCGGAATACTTTTTACTAACAGACAAAATTAAGTCGAATATTTCATGCTCGTATAAAAGCTTAAAAAAATTGAGTTTGTTATTATTTTATTTTTTGATATTTTTTTGTTTATATTGGTGATTTATTTTTATTTATTATTTTTTTTACAGATTCTATAAAAAAATTATTAAAATTCTCATCATGTTCTTGATAGTTGTCCAATCGGGTCCCGTTTTCATCACTAAAATGATCTGGTTGTTTTTTGTGGCATTGTGAAGGATGAGAATTGCTTTTTCATGATTTTCCATGCTGTTTGAGAAACATTATTTGATTTGGAGAACAAATTAGCGTAATAAGTTCGCTTAGAATTTTTAATTTTTTGCACGTGAAGTTTATATATGGTTTTGTACCTGTAAATACATTCTGGTCATTTGTATATTAATATATTTTAAGGAGATCTCGAAGATATTGACCTTCTTCTACATACAGTCATGGTTTGCAATCCCAATCAATCTTGGAAACGCATTCACAAAAATCATTAATATTACTTTCCGGAGTATAAAAACCGTTTGAAATAGAACGATTTTTAAGCTATTATCTTGATTCGGGTTTAAAGGCCGTCGTCGATTGGAATTACTTCCTAACGTTTCGCTAGCACGAGTGGCGAGCTTCTTCAGAGGTCCTTCCATCTCCGATGTTGGACGTAGACTGACAGTCAGTGAAAAATTTCTATAATACGGTAATAAATATCAATTTTCGCATATCTAGCGTATATTCTTCATAATTTGTGACCTTTGTTGAACGTAAGCTTCGCCTTCAGTCCAGTTCAGTTCACTTTCCGACACCGCTCTGAAGATAACTAAGAGGATATCAGGGGAAAGTTCAGAAGATCTGCGTGTGAACATGAAACGATTTGCAAATTAAGTAAAAATATAAGTCGGTACGTTCTGACTAAAATTCAATTCCGCCATCGAAATGCGTGTGTAAGTCGCGGTTAATCTGCGTGATATATGGTTGCACCCGCTCAGTTAATTAAGTTACCCGTTCGGTCGAAACTGATCGGAAAATCTGCTTTGCATAGACAGCGGCACGGCTGCGGCTGCGGCGGTAACGGCATTTGTTGTAATAAATACATAAATTCATAAAAGTAATTTCACCGAAAGAGGAACGTAGAAAGTCAATTATCGTAAGTAATAGTTTTCAAACGCGATCTCCGGCGAGAAGCCAGAAATGTGGTGCACTTTGCAGTTAAGCGTAGCATATCGCTGCTTCAACTGCGGTAAAGCCGTTTTAGTTTTCGTCTAAACATTGCCCGAGCAGTAGCGCGAAAAATATGGGATAGTTTGCGACGTTTCGGGTGTCTAAAGCGCAAGGCCAAGATGCTGCCTAATGCTTCGTATACGCTGTTCGGTAAGCAACCATTTACGCACGATCGATCACGAAGATAATTATTTTTCTATTATCTACATTAGTCCAGATTGTACCGTTTTGTAAGGTGCGCAAAATATATTGATCCTCAGATTACCTAATGAATAAAATCATTTTTCTTGATATTTCGGTTCGCTTTCTTGAACTTTTCGATTTTTTTGTCATTGAAATTTGTTTATACCATGTCCGTTTATTATTTGCTTGAAACATTGGCAATCACATACTTGTAATATATTGAAAAAAAGTTTCGATTGCTTTTAATTCGATGTGCTTTGCGCATTACATGAAGGAATATTTTTAACATATGATAGAGTAATGTTTTTGTCTCAAAACTCGACCATTCCGGGGAAGAGAAAGTTCCAACAGAAAGCAAATAAACGGATTGAGCCCAGAATTTTTTAACTCTATAGGACGCGAGAATTTCTTTATAACATTGCCGTGTCCTTTTTGAAACACCCTGTATATGATATCCCGCAATGAACTGAAGCTATTGACGCTACAAATATTCAGATATTCAACCGATCATTGCATATTATATTTTTTAATATTATGTATTGTGTTCAAACCTCGAAAAATCCAGAGAGTTTAAGTTGCAACAGACAGTAAATAAACTAATTGAAAGGCTGCTAGTTTGACGCGAGTTGTTTCCTCGAACGTCAATTCAAATTTAAAGAGACATCCGCTTAATGCATTTTTTTTCTTTAAATTGCTAATTTTTCACACAAAATAAGTAGCGCTTTCTGCAAGTTATTCACTTCAACTTTCACCACAAATTTTTATCTTATTAAAAAGCGACATTACTAAGTTGAAGTATTTGTTTATATTTAAACGAATCTCTTACTTAGTACAACCTATTTCTCAGTATTGTTGTCAATTGATGCATTAGGACAATCTTTTTATTACTTTATCATCTAAAAAATAAAATGGTTCAACATTTTGTTCCTATAAACTATTGTTAAGTTGGTGGAATAACTGGTTGTTTCACCGAGAGCACCCGGGCTGTATGTGTATGTGCTGCCTAGAGGGTTCAACATTGGATCACTTTTCTTCATCAATATCATTTTCACACTTTTTCATATTCTAGAAATTATTAATAATAGTAATAATAATAAATACATTAACATGATAGTCTTAAATAATGGCGAAAATAAAAAAAATATTGAAACTACAAAATGGCTATAATGACAAACCATGCATATAAAAAAAACAATCTGTGCTGATAGTACACCTAAAAATATACAAAACTAAGCAAGGACTAACCAAAACTAAAAAGTAGGTAAAACTTGGATAACGAACAGTGTATGTAAAGATGGTATTCACAGTAATTATACTTCTAGAATCACCTACAAAGAAGCATTTTATGATACGCTCGTTTAAAACTGGCGACCGTACATGTTTTAAAAAGGGGTGCAATATTATTATCGGTTAGAGCAAACATTACGTAAAAATGAGATAAAAAAAGAAGTAGTTTTAAATTAATCATATTTCAATTTGTTTCTTGTTTCGAATTGCATATACATTGGGTTCAAGTTGCGTTCAATGTTCAAGACGCATTCCGTTATCAATGCGTGAATTAAATTAGGCACTCTAGAAAATGATTTTTGCAAAAATATCACAATATGTCCACAATCAACTTGAAGAAATTGTCGAAATAAATAAGAACTAAAAGTTCAGATTTTCACGAAATTATATATTATGACATGACAATTGTTTCGACAACATCGTGTCTTTATCAAATGTGATAAAAAAAAAATTGATAAAGACACGGTGTTGTCGAAACAATTGTCATGTCATAATATATAATTTCGTGAAAATCTGAACTTTTAGTTCTTATTTATTTTGATAAATGGATTTTCATCAAGTAAAAGCCACCTCAGTTCAATTGAAGAAATTGTCCGACAAATTGAAAATTTTACTTAAAAAATAATTGGAAAAATGCATAAATTTATAATAGCGAGTATATTTTTCGAAACTAGGAATGCGAGTACCATATTCTTCGTTGGGTGAATCTTCTCCAAAAGTGATAAGGGGTTATGTCAAGATTTCCATATAAAATAGCAAACTTCATCAACCAACGGAACGTAATATCCACACAATGTAAGCGTCCGATTAAAGTCAAGTGTTACACACGAATATTTTCCTGGTTCATGAAAGGAATTCCTGGCGATCAGAGCTTGGAACAGTTCCGAACGGTAACCGTAAAACAATTTTTCGAACACGCAAATTTACTTGATCTCTGAGCCGTGCAAAAGCGAGCTGAAAAAACTAAATTGTTATTCACACTCCGCGTTGCCCGTAATATATAATCGTTATAAAACCGTGCTTTAATATCCGCTAATTACCATTTCGCTAATTAATTCGGCACTTATAGGAAACCATCGCTATATAACGGTTTTAGGGCAGCTTTACGTTACCCCGGCGACACCGACAGAAAACGACTGGGATATCTTTTCGGTATCTCTGCGCTTCTTGCTCCCTCTGGCGGGGCTGGGAATTGTCTGGATTCGAAGAAATGCTTTCGCGCAACTGTGGATGCACTTGGATCGCACATGCGTATCTGGTAAGAACAAACCACAATTACCTCAAACCACAGAACAGAAAAGGTTCACTCTCGGTCGGAATATTCAGAGCTTTTTTGTATACAAGAGGTCTGCGAAAGGTTTTTACTTCTTGTAAGTTAAGCAACGTCGCGAGACATTTTATAGTTCATGGTTCACTTTAGGATTAACAGTTTTTTCTTGGTTAATACAAGACAACATAATGTGTTCGCTTCCAGTACAATAAGATCTTCTAATATATTTCTTACGAAATCTTTAAATAATATAAAATAGGAGCTGCCTAGAAAAAGCAGCATTCGAAAGGGAGAGAGAAAGGCGGAACTGGAATGGACTCTTGTCTTTCTTTAATGGTCACATATATTTCTAACTGCTGATTAGTTAATGATTAGGAAATTTCATTAAGACAACTTTTACTTTTGGAAAACTTAAATAATATATTTAAATTTTCCTCAGGAGAAGATAGACGTGAAAACTAACGTGACATATGAATTCTTTAACAAGACTACCATAGATTTCGAACTTGTATGTACTTTAGTATTTCTGCCATCGCTGAGCCACCGAGAAAAACTACTTAAATGGGCACGAGATAGGCTGCCCAATCAATGGTCGTCGCCCAGGCCCACGTTATCTGGAGGAGTTTCCGATTTGTGGTACGATGGTTCCCTTCTCTGCGCGATTGTCAATACCGCAGTGCCAGGCGCATGTTCCAACCCACACAAGCACTGGAAGAAACCACCCGCGCATGCTCAAGAATTGGCGTTCAAATATTTGGGAGTTATTCCGGTAAGAAATGGTAAACTAAATGCTGGATCGTCGCGTAAAAATCATCTTCTTTTAGATATTCGCGGAAGCCGATCTACACGGCCCTCTAAACGCCGAATTGGAACAAAATTTCTTACGATTTCTGTGCCTGCTGCGCAAGGCCGTCGATGGCGTGACGCAGAGTAGGCCTACGGTAACTGATATTTCGAAAGCTTACATTGCCAGGGGGATGGGCCTCTATGCGGGAGAGCAGTACAAAGAAAGCGTTTTCTATATTTACCCTCAAATAAATCCCTGTTACTATTACAATATAGGTATTAGCGTCAAAGGGCCTTACTCGACTCATGGTAGGATAGAATTTTCGCAAATGTGTCCGGATAGCCCAACAACGTACCAAAACCAGTTGGTAAATCCAAATGCAGATACCACGGGGCTTGCTAAGGTTTGTTCTACCAGCGAATCAGATACGGATATCATAAAAATCAAAGTCACCATTGAAAGTGCACGCGCTCGTATTGCTTTCATACCAAAGAGTGACGGAATACACGAAGTCTCTATCGAGTCTAATTCAGAACCAATTATCGGCAGTCCCTATTATGTAAATGTCTTCCAAGCAGCCAGCAGCAGTTGCAATTCGAAAAACGCATCCAGAACTCGAATTAAAAGAAGTTTGCTTGTGGAGTTAGCGAAAGAAAATAACATGATTGACAGAAACCCGATAGATGAACAATTGGGCTGTTACATCAAGAACTTAAACCTTTCCAGTTTCGACGACGATAGCATGAACCTCAAAAATATCAAGCCCAACAATAAAGATTTCAAAAATCTTTGTAATATAACCAAGAAATCTATTTCCAATAGTTTGGTGGATAAATTCTTAGAAAAGAAAAATTTTACCCATTTCCCTGTCAAAATTAATATGCAAGCATCATGCGATAATGAGGAGGTCGCGATCAAACCCAATCCAGTAGCAGTTCCTAGTTCCCTTAGTACTTCTCCAATATGCTCCGACCATATTGCCCCAGAAGACGATGGTAACAATCAGGCAAGTTTAAAAGGTCGCTGCAGTGCAAACCAGGTATTGTATCATGTAAATAGCAAGATTTATTTCAAACATGTTTTATTTTTAGCACCATTGTAAGCAACATTCTTCGGATAACGGCCAGAAGTCTTCGTATTCTACAAATGAGAATATAAGAATGACCAAAGGTGACACAGACAAGAGAACTGACCTAATAATTGACTCAAACAAGTACGCTCCGTCATCGCATGAGTGTCACGAGTATCAAACGTGTTTGCACAAGGAAAAATCCAGTAGCATGACCAATTTGTCATACCATCCAGAGAGCCTCGGATGCTGCTTACTTTTGAAAAGACTAAACGCCCACACTAACTTATCCAAGTCCCAGGCAGATCTGAGAAGTCGTCCCGTCCCTCCGAATATTAAAAAGTATAAATCCATGGACCACAGTTTAGACGCCTGCTCTGAGGAATCAATCGAGAAGAGGCGTTTGGACTATTTGAAACAAACGCAATTCAATCATATAGAATGTGGAAGTGCTGATAGCCAGGAAGAGGTCAAAATTAACAGTGAGTAACCCAGATTGTAAGTCTAGTGTGATGACCAATCTATCATTTCTAGGTTCAAATACTGATAGAAGTACAGTACAGTTTGTCGAAGGAAGGGGTAAGGTAGATCATTTGACATTCAAGGAAGCCAGAAATTATTTCAAGTTTCTGGAGGAGAATGCAAAGAAACCGTTTAGAACTATAATCGAGTTGGACAAATTTGTTTACTCCAAAGATAGAATGTGGTACCAGACTATCAACTCCTGTCGTATCACCCGGACGAATAGATTGAAAGCGAACCAGATTTACAGAAACGCACTCACCATGCTCCAGAAAAATTGTCATTGTAGTTCGGTAGACGATGCGCTGACCGTTATCTCTAACGAAGACGCGAATTTCCTGAAGGAGAGTGTTATGAAATTTGCGAAGCAAAAAAAGAGACACGATCTTAAGTCAGTGTTTGGCATCACGTACTGATCACGAATGTTCAAGTGTTTTTCGTTGTTTGTTGTATTTTCGAGTACTGTACGTGCAAGGAGACTATATGGTACAAATATAATTTTAATCTTAATTGATAAGGTTTAATTAATAACAGAGGAATGTTGCACTGAAAAATTTTATTTGTAGACAAACTATAAAAACCTCACAAACTAATAACGTTCGTAATAGGGCACAAAATTGTTATTTTAAAAAATTGTAAATGTATGTTCTTGTCTTTAGGTTTTTCATTGCTTAATTATTTGAGTAGTTATGAGTTTACAATTAGGTTACCTTCTGTAAAACTTAAATTACTGGTTATATAAATTAACGACAATAACAAAAAATTATTACTATTTTTGTTAATATGATAACTTCAAAATATTTATGCATGGAATGATGACAATAGATTGGAAAGTCTTGTGGTAACATGGTTTGATATATTCAAAACGCGATTCAATGATTAAGAAGATCTTCGAATTACATTTTTGCATTATCATCAAGTCGGTTGCAAAATTATTTCAAATTATTCTGTTATACAGGTTTCCACTATTAAATAAACACGTCATTTTTCAATAGGCTTGTCAAGTATAATCCAAACCAAAATTCCTATCCATATACTTTTGTGAGTACTTATGCTAAATCTCTAGTGGTTTATCTCACCTGACGATATTCTGCTTACTACATCTAGAACGTACGAAACAAATTTGTGTACATGGGTGCTTCAGAGACAAATAAAAAGAAGAAGGAAGATGTTGTTTTTGCGAGTGCTTTCGTTTCATATTCAGAGCATTAATATTTAACATTTCATCGAATTTGCAAAACGATCAAACGTATAAATCGGTGGTTAAACACGAATCCATTTGAATTTATCAATTCGATATACTAGTTAACTCGATTTAAGCTGCCTTCGGGCAGCGGTATACGAATGCTTTTGAAAGTCTTCAATTGGTAACAAAAAAGGTTATACGGAATTTTCACAGATTGTTGTGTGATATCTGATTTCGTTTTACCCATGTGGCTTAGAGGTATCGATTAAAAAAATCTATCAAGAGCAATGCGAAGCTGTTAAGAAGTGCTTGCGCTCCAAACAAGTAAATCTTGCTTCGACGCATCGTTCGTTTGGTGTGTGGCAGCCTTTACCTGCGTAAACGCGAGAAGAGCAACTAATTTATTTAAACCAGAAACGGCGAATATCAAATTTGTTATCGCAAGATCGCCGCAGATTGTTTTTTCGTCTAAAAGTTTATTCATGTCGTACCTATGATAGTTGCGTTGGTGACATATGGGAAACATAACATGGAAAGCATTCTTTTTATTGATGTGCTGCGTTTACTCGACTTTAGGAACAATTTTAGGTAATTGGACAACTATGTGTTTGGACTGCCTGAACGTAACAGATATTTCCGTAAGTATTTAACCTGCATGTAATTTAGTAATTTAATTATAAATTCTAATGTGAGTATGATTCAGCTGCCAGACATCGGCCATAAATTTATCAATTTTATTAAAATAAATTTTCGCCATTTCTTTCAAATAAACCGGCTTGACCGTTAACATATTACATATATTTATCTACAGATTATAAAATCTAAACATGGTCCAAATTCAAAAAGGGGATCGCTATTTCGGATCAAAAAGTTACTATAAAATATATTCTGATTCCTTGCTGATTTAGAGAAATTTGTTATAAAAATAAAATAAAAGTAATGTAGAAGTTTTATAATAAAATTGTGCAATATCGAAACGTAGGAAAAAAATCGTAGTTCATTATTAACACGTAACAGATAGTATTCACAAAATGTACTTTAAACCCCGAATCGTTTTTTAATCTTTTTAAATCCTGAAGTTGCTTTCGGATAGATCTGGCAACAATCAACATCAATATCAATTTTGAAAAAATCTCTTGTGGATTCTGAATGAATAAGAAAATGAATTAATATGGTTTTCCGAAATTTCAAATAATTTAATTTGCAATATATTTTCGGATCATTCCAGGCTGATCACTCCTGTGAACTACAACGCTGCGTCTCAACAAAGAGTTGTCGTCATCAAATTGGTAAAGAATTCGACAAACTAGTTTCTTAAAAATTGTTCTCATAATGTGTTTCTAGATTTAACGAGCACTGAGATACGGAATGGGGCACACTCTCCCGAAATTTTGTGCCAAGACGAACAATACTTGATAGTAGCGTTTAATCATACCGAACACACCCTATATTTTATTGAGTATCGCACACACAACGGCAACATGACCCATGTTTCGAATTTCGTAAGATTCTCCCTAAATTTGCGATAGGTTTTATTAACGATGCGTTTCTAGTCACTATGCGGTCACATTTTGGTGCAGAAGCTAGAACCCCATACCAGATATGTATTGTACTTGTGGGCGGTTTCTCTGCGAGATGGTATCGTCACTAGAAGTCGAATTGTGGAATCTCCGAAGCGAATTCCAAACACTAAAATTTCACCAGTTAACAAACTGGTTTTAAAAAGTTTGTCATTGGAAAACAAAATATATACAGCAACCATTAGCTGGGAGCCAGGAGCAGGTAAGTGGCAACCACATTCTCCTCTTTAACCAAAACGAAGATTTCAGGCCTATCCTGCTACTACGAGGTGCTATGGTACAAAAAAAGCCAACCAGGGTTATATAGACAGGCCAAAATCAATCTCAGAGTAGTATGTACAAAAAGTGTTTGATTAGAGCAATGCGATGACATTACGAACGTAAAATTTGTAGCAATATTTTAAAGAATACAACATTACTAAATTGGAATTGGGTAAGAAGTATCGCGTATCTTTGATGGCGACCAACGAAAACCGAACGAAGGAGAGCGAGAAGAAATGGATCCAGATTAATATCCCCAGCTGCGTCGACACTTACCGAAATCTCAACGATTGCAGTGAGAAAAGTTTCAAATTTTCACGATTTGCGCAGAGAATTTCCCAATTGCAGCTCCTCCGGTTCCAAACAATTTAACTCTGACCAAAAGTGCAAATATCGCTAGTTCAAACGATTCCATTTACGACATCACATTGACTTGGAACAAGCCCAAACTATTACCTAGTTATTACACAGCATCATTTACAAATATACCCAATGCGCAGGCCAACTCCACCACTATCGTGGTAAATGTGTCAGGGGTGGGTATCCTGATTTGCCGTAATTTTTGTACGCGGTTTATTGTGCAAAATTTTGTTTTATTGTTATGTAGAATCACCAGTTCATCACTTTAGGTTCACAACTTTGCTAACTTCCAAAACGTCATACTCGGTCATTATTTTCGAACCAAGCTAGTCGCATGGTCTCAAGCAGGATCCAGCCCACCAGCGGTGCTCTACAATTCAACGCGCTTCATACCAGAAACGGGAGAGCATTTCCAAACATTAGAACCTAATTACTGGCGATGGATACCACCGATCCTTGGTTCAGTCACGGCCGTTTTTGTTGTTTGGAGGATCATCCAAAGAAGGACCCGACTTAACTCGATGGATTACCTCAAAATCGGTAACGCGAAGCTGACTTTTGTGGCAAATAAAAACGTGCGCAAATGTAGCGTTCTTCTCACTCCAAATTAAAGTCAGTTCTTTCAAGGTTTCGAATAAATACCAGACTGCGAATTATACTTCAATGGAATCGCACGATTCCAAATGGGAAATCGAGGAACGCAAGCTTTTATTGGAGTCCATAACTGGAGTAGGAGCGTTCGGTATTGTCCAAAAAGGTTACTACAACCTACAGTCGGATAAAAGACTTGAGGTGGCGGTTAAAATGCTGAAAGGTATTCAATAAAGACCACGCTGGGCAGTAGTGATGATGATTTTTAGCAAAGTCCACCGAGGATCAGGTGAAGCAGTTCTACGACGAGATAGAGATCATGAAGACAGTACCAAAGCATCAGCATATCGTTTACTTGATTGGCGTAATTACAAAAAACAGATACCAAAATCCGCTGATGCTGGTGGAGTATTGTTCCAAGGGAGACTTGCAGAGTTTCCTCAGAAAGGTGTGGATCGCTCTAGGAGAAAAGTGAGTCGCAAATTGTCAAAGCTTTTTCATTGCGTTCCGCGTATTTAGGGATCACGACAATAAAACCGACGACGAACTGGAGCCCAAAATGTTCTCCAACAAATTTTACGAGATAGAATCCAGCATTTTTGAGGATGATCTCTCGTTGAAATCCAAAGATCTGTTGTCGTTTGCCAGACAAATTGCCATTGGAATGGTGAGTCTTAAAGTCAAACAGTGCAAGAGGATTAAGGCGCATGAATTTCAAGGAATTTCTAGCCAGCTTAAAAATCATCCACAGAGACTTGGCGGCTAGGAATATTCTGATAACAAAGGATAATGTGTTAAAGATATCAGATTTCGGATTGAGTCGGGATGTGTACACGAATAACATGTACCAAAAGACCACAGCCGGTGAGATAATTAGTGCCCTCAAGTTGCTATTTTTTGAAAGTATGTTTAAGGCAAGCTTCCAATCCGATGGATGGCGCTGGAATCGCTAACCCATCAGATGTACACCACCGAAAGCGATATATGGTCCTTCGGGATTGTAGTGTGGGAAATCGTAACGCTCGGAGGCCATCCCTACCCGACCATTAATTCTGAAGATCTGATTCATCGCCTTAGAGGAGGATTTCGGATGGAAAGACCTCTGAATTGCGATGAGCAAGTGTAAGTAGCACTAACTATCAAGTTGACAGAATCGAATCTTGCTTTCAAGGTACGGCTTGATGCTGAAGTGTTGGGACGCGGTTCCGAAACAGAGGCCTCCATTTGAGGAGTTGGTTGGGATTTTCGATAAACTCTTGGAAAACGAAATGCAGTACATCAACTTGGAGGACGCCAAAAAGTTAGATATAAAATACTACCAAAACGTGGGAAAAGGTGAAATTGGCAACAACAAATACGAATTTAAAGGCCAATGTATCCGATATGTTCAATCAACTCAGAACAAAATTGTTTGATGTGAATTGCCTTTAATAAACAGCTTTAAAATTTAAGTAACATATTTCAAAGCTCTTGACGAACCCAAACCATGTACACAAAACAGATTGCGTTTTAGTGTTTGCGTGCTCTATCCATAATCATATGGCTTTTATTGGGCTCCAGATTTCTAATAATGTTTGGCTTATTAACGGTGGGCTTTTGTTGCTCCATATTGAAACGTCCTTTTCCCACAGAAACCCTGTTTAATCTAGAGTAAATCATCAATCATAGATTAGTAGGTCCACAGGTCAAAATAAATGTATATGGATTTGTGTCGCAGTTGAAGGAATTATATTTTAGTCCATTTGATGAATACACCCCATGTAATTTAAAGGACCCAATGAGTAAAAGTGAGTTGTTTTTATTCGTCGAAAACCGAAATGTAGGGGAAAACCGGGTAAGATGGCGAGGTTAAGAAAAAACGTACATATTATTGGTTATTTATTATAAATTCTCACAATATTTTCTCTTAACAAAATCTTAGGAACTTCCTTATCAAAAATAAACAGTATCGTTACATCCAGTAAGCTCAAAATATTTAAAATGTATAGTTTAAAAAAAAAATGCAAATTCGCCATCTTGCCCTACATGTCGGATAAATTGGTGAATGGATGAGGATAAGATGACGAATTAACAGAAATCACAGACAAAGTAATTTATTCCATCAAAATTACTGCACGCCTAATGGCACCACAGCTGGCAGGATGAACATTGAGTCCACTCCTCCGTTGGTGGATCTTGGTAGGTCTCTTCATATCCTGGACACAATATCACATTCACTCTTTCTTTCGTCATGTTTTTTCCGAGTTTTATTTTTCTGGTCGTTAAGTTTCCTTTGGTTTTTCAGCTCTCTCTGTTTCTTTTTCTCGTTTATTTTTTTTTATTTTTCAATGGCAAGATTTTCTTACTTTTGAAGCTCTTTTTTTACCAGTGTAGACGTTATAATTCTTACTGTAATCTTTTTCTTTTCTTTTTAGTAATTTTTGACGGTTAACATTTTCCACTTTTTCTTTCAATATTTTCATTCCTCTTGGACCGGGTTGATCCATCAGATCCATTTCGTTGTTCGCCGAATTCCCATCATCAACAAATAAGGTTCTTTTTACTGCATCTGTTTTCGATCGGTTCATACAAATAACCGGGATTCGGTGTTGGATTTTCATTCAGCTTGTTTTGCTTTGATACAAACTTAATCAACGGTTGATTGTCCTCAGCCTCACTGTCAGTATCGTTTAACATATTAACTTCTGGATATTCTATTTGTCTATTCTCACAGTTCAAATTTGGCATTTCTCTATCTGTCGTCAAAGCTTTTTCGTATTAGCGGCGAAATAAGTCAGCAATATCTTTGTCAGTAATGGTTTGCCCTGGATGAGTTATCATGAAACAGTCGCACTCCTGACTAAAATAGATTTTTAAGGAACCAAAAAATGACACATGCATAGGTTGTAGTCGATGAGTTGTATGTGGGGGAAATCCGACCATTATAATGCCAGATTCCCTTGCAAAATCCATGGATTGAAGAGTAACGTGTAATAACGTGTAACGTGTAAGTAATGTTTGTCCACAAAAAGTAAAATGGGTTCTTCCGGAGAGCGTTTCGTGTGTTGCTTGAAATGTTTCAGGTATTTTAGAAATATCTCCGAATCCATCCATCCGTTTTTCTGCGCGCTTCCTGATGACCCTACAGGTGCTCAATGAAGAAATTCTTCATATAGTTGGTTGGCAGTAAATAAGTATTTGGTATTTATTTTCCCTACTTGTTCCCCGCAAAATCAGTATGTAGATAATTTGGGTCAATAAGGAATCGGCCTAATGTTTTATAACTTATGCTTTATTTCATTCAAACTAAATTAGAACCTATTATATCTATTATCGTTAAAAGACGTCAATTTGACGGGTCCGGTACTGCGGTCCTGGTACTGCGGTATCGCGCATCCAGTGACGTTCTCAACATCGTCACACTGATTGCTTAAATCATTGAAAGCCTTCCCGTTGCCACAGTTATATAGGCGCGGTTTTCCCTCGATGCAGACGAAATACCGCTGACAATCACTCGGCGACCTGAAGTACCGGTACTCTTCCTGCCCAAAACCGAACGCTCTCGCGTCGGGAGGGCAGGAGAAGCCCAAATACGCTGCAAAGAATGAAAAATTGCGATAAAATACATTTGTCATTACTACGAGGTTATAGAGAGATTAACATTTTTGGATTAGTATACAACTTAAACTTTTATTGTAACAGATTTAAAAATAGAGGTGTTATACTTACAATAAATCCACCACACATTAAACTAATTCTTTTTCCAATTTGCAAAACGTGTTTTTTCAGTATTTACTTGTTTTGTCTAAAGTTATAAGTTGATAGTTTTCGTTAGTTTAGTTAGCAGTTCGCACCCCGTAGATAGAACAATCGAATTAAAAACTTTTCCTCTTGTAAAGCAAGAAATTGGCAAAATATTTCATGTTGGCGGTGTTAGGACATTATGCATCTAAATAAACAACTTTTATCGTATTTACCCCGCCCTGTCTCTTTAATGGTACAAAAGTTACATATAATAATACATATATAATAACAATTAAAAAAATAAATAAATGTGAACACCATATATTACCTTCAGCGTCACATGACGGCACTTGGTCGGGCCAGTCACACCTATAGGTATCCCCGTTGAAAGCCAAACCTTCTGGGCAGTCGAAAATAAAACCCCGGCCGTCAACGCAGTTCTTGAACTGGCCGCAGTTTTGAGCATCACCTATTCTGAAGTAGCCGAATTGGTGAGGGCATTCGTCAGTTGCTTGGGCGGGTTCTGGAACGAGTCGAAGGCGTTTGATTTGCACCAGCAAGTTATTTATAGGATTGCTTACGAGTTTGTTCCCTGCCTGTGCAGTCTACGTCAATGGGGTATTGACACGGGAAGGCGTGAGGCCCAGTTGAAGGATTAAACAATAGACCATCTGGGCAAATTTTTTCCTCGGCGATCCCGTTGACACATTGAATGTAACTAGAAATGGACTTATTTATAGATCAATAACAAAAAGTGAAAAGAAGTACAATGACTCATAATGCAAAACGAAAAGAAACTGGGTTTACCTGTAACCACAGATGTTGATGTTAAGAGGGAACTTAAATTCTTCATTGAAATAAAAACCTTCTTTTAAACGTTGCAGTAAAGTTAATACTAACGTCTTTATTGCAAAATAATAAATGGCAAAGATTAGTTCGAGAACCATTTACAATTAACCAATTATAAGATTTACGTAAAATCTATTATAATAAAATATAATAACAGAAAAAAATACAATCAGTCTATCCAGGAACGAAAAAGAGAAAAGAGGAGACATTTTTATAATGTAGATTTTTGGAAAGCAAGCAGATGGGATTAGAATTGTTTGAACTTGTTTAGATAGAAGTTTCTAAAACAATATTCGATATTATTTCTATATCTCGTTGGCGTAAAATGCCATCCAAGATATTGGGGTGATGAGGTAAGCAGTAATTTGTGAGTGAAGAATGATAATTCAAATTTGTAATTATTTTTCCCGCGTAGCTAACCATGAGAGACAGCAGGAGTAAGTATTAGACATAATATACTATAAGACTATATTATCGACTGAACTCACATAGTTCCGTAGAGAATTTAGATATCACAAGAAATCAAGTTGCATTAAATTAATTCTTTTCAACAATTTAACTAATCATAATATAACATTTTAGGTACGTTTGAAAATATTTTGATATTGATTTGTTTATAAATTATTACTTTAGTCACTCGCTTAGTCACGATTTTCTTTTCTTTCTTTTCGTTTTAAAAAAAAAAACGAAAAACGAATTATTACAAAGGGTCGTTTTTCCGTTTTTCTATAATAATCAGATGACTACATTAATCAAACTGGAACGTTTATATTTTAAGAGCGCTCGATTTTTTATTCTAAAAGATTTCTTTAACATTTTAAACAGAAAATAGGGTCAGCTGTCATGTGACCAACCAATAGAACAAAGACATAAAGCCGCCATTAGCGTCGGCGTGATCCTTTTACGTAGATCACGCCTAATTTTCTTTCATTTTATTTCCAAGACCTAAGTAAAGGCAATTAGGTGAGATGGAAAAGAAAACGGTTCCTTTTATTGTAAATTAAACAAATTAAAAAGTCGGCTTTTATTTCTTTTTTTTAATGTGTGAATCTTTCATTAAACCGTAAACATATACTGAAAACATTATATTTTATTAGAAAACCTGTTATATTAATATTGCATGCGCCTGAAACAAAAAAAAGAGGAATCTCTACTCTAAGGATAACGTTAAAAAGAACTTTCGTTACAATTTATGCTTATTTATATTTTTATTTTTTTTACAATTTTACATAGATTATAAATAAATTTATTTTTTTATTTAAAAAATTAGTTCTATTTTTTAGAGTGTGCCACCACTAAAATCGAGTTTCACATAAACTCAGTGCCATCCGCAAAAGCTTGAATATTACTAGGGATTTCTAGCCAATTGGCAGTATAATATGAGAACAGAATTGGCCCTAAATCCTATCAGTGAGGTAGGTCAGAATTTATGCTACAAACAAAATTATTACTCTCTTGCAGATTACAACTCCGGGTATTCCTGATGTCAGATATTATAATTTGGGACAAATTTTGATTATATTCACCAAATTTAGTAATATCATATGTTTTCCATACATACAAAAGGTGCCTTCTTACCCGTCGCACATGCTCGTGGGGAAGGTACCATTAGGCTCGAGACAACTTCCAAAGGAACCACCGGTCACCTGAGGTACGTCCCTGACGAAGTTCGGTTCCTGCTGACGATTACTATACCTGCTGTTAAACTGGCAAAGAACTGAAAATGAAACGGAATTAAATATTGCTTTTCTCCATAAAACATTTCATATGCCTCTCAGGTGCTGTTTGGATATATTTGGATAAACCTTGACATTTCTCAAGTAATTTCCCAAAACCTTGTCGCATAACGCATAACATGACATTAAACATGCGTTTCACAATTATTACCGTTGACCAATAGGTGCAATATGATCGATAAAACAAAACTTTCTCCTAAACAGCCGCCAGAAGCATTTAAGCTGCTTTCAAACTTATCATGGCTTTTGGCGGGCCACCAGAAACCGATGAATTAATAGCATAATAGTATGCGTATAAAATCAATATAGCTGTAAAGTGAAAGCAAAAGAAGAATAATTTTTTCCGAGGTAAAGGTCATAAAAAATATAAGAAAATATCATCTAGGAATACGGTGCATTTGAGATGCGGGAACAAGGTTGCGTCCAATGCGATACAAATCGCAAATGGCGATACTTAATGGTGTTTTTGTATTTATTTCGTTAATGAAAGTTGTTCGAAAATTCTGTTCTCATTAGGAATCATGTTTATTTCATGGGAACTAAGGTAATTAAGGTATAAGTTGTATCTCTTAAACATATCTAAACAAATCCACATCAAATAAGTTTACAAGGAAATCTCAATACAACGGCGAGAAGCCCTTGAACTATTCTACCCGTACCCTGTAAAATCCTAGTTGTTTTGCCTATATGCCGTTTACGCATCAATTCTAGGCATACAATGACTTGCCCAGGCATATCATTTAAAAAATATAGCGAACGCATAGCTCAAAGTAGATGCCAGGGCAAAATTTCTTTGCATTTCTTGAAAAATAAGGCAAATTTTCTTCCAATATAGTATCTTTCTAGTCTTAAGTAGGATAAACTATTTTGATCAGATTTCAAAAAAAAATGGATTTTTATTTGTTTTTGTAAGTTGGCAAAATTTAAAACTTTTAAGTGTTTTGACAGCGATTGTTGTATGTCGTAAGTGGCGTCGTTTTTTTATGGCCGCGTGATTATGTGCATTAAGATTTCGCGCACGATAACTACCATGCGTAAAAATGAATAATTTATACATATTTTTAACAAAAATAATCACGTTTCTGCGATTGTGAAGTACCGCTCGACATCCCATGGTGTTTTAAAAAGTAATAAGCAGAATGCTTATAGAATTCAATTGTTTTTGTTTAGTATCGATTGTTTAATTGTTGACACGGTATTTTCATAAAACCTTTTATTATACATTTTACTTTCTATTGGAAAATCGATAAGCTATTTGTTAGTTTTGCGTGCTTAATTGCGTCAAAAAACAAAATTTTAGTATAAAAGACAAGCAAATTTAATAGTTGGTATTCAGAATTAGGACACTTGCGAATTAAACAAACGACTCAATTTTCCGGTAATAATTTCGTTAGTAAGATACGTAGGCTGTCCGTTCAAGCTTGACAAACAACCAAGTCATTCGTGTATGTTTTAACTGTACTAATTACATATAGATGTTTTTGTAAATTTCAAACTGAACAAAGTCCCTTATAGAACTTGAACCACGAAAATAACTCCACACTTCACAATAAAGGAGAAATAATATTTTCTACGTACACAAAATACATATGTATTATTTTAAATTAAAAAAAGACTTACCGCTTGCGCACAACGTAGTTACAAAAATTAACACTCTTAGATTTTTCATGTTGTTCGTTAGCGTTTTCTGTGAACCCCGACGGCGAAATGAAGACGCATCTCTGGTCACCAGCGCAGATCCACCGTTTATCTCAGTCAAGGACTTTTTTCTACTGTACGTCGCTCATCCCAAAACCGCGAATTGCATAAGTTCTTCTCGACGATCTTCCTTGCAGTTTCTATTTAGCGGGTTTTCGTTTGGCAGAAATACATTTAACTTGAATCGCATAATTTCTGTTGCAATTCATAATTGAATTAAAATTTTATTGGCAACGTTTTAGCAAACTACCCAAAACCAAGTTGGTTTCTTGTTTAACATCCTTGTTTTTTGGAGCTTTATACGTTTTTTTTTTTTGGTACTTGCTGTACATTAGATTACAGGATCCCACATGGTCTTTTCAAGGTTAAGCCACCACCGGAGAGATGGCGACATTATTTTTTTTTCCCAGAAGCACCATCTGCTGACTCCAAACAAAAATTGGTTTTAACATTAATGGTACCTTACCATCAAAGCTAAACCTGTGATGGTTTTTTATTTCTTGCAATTTATTTTTGTAGGGGTGCTAAATTAGAATAAAAACTAGAAGTATGGAATTAGAACCAGTATCAAAAAATAAATTGCTGACCAGATTGCACCGACTTTGATTTATGGAAATGAATAGAACAGAAGAAGAGATTCACGAAAGAAACAATGACCAACTTTCTGTTAACGATTTGCTGGGTCAGATGAAAACACAATTTAACAAATCGGAGACAATTGATCAATCGGACGAGCAAGCAAGTAATACAGAAAATAATTCTCAAGTGAATGCAGATCTAAAAGAATTTGAGAACTTTGAGAAATTTATCCTGGAATCCACAAATGGGAATGCTCCAGAAAATATTGAACCCAGAACAGCAGAGATACAAGTTTCCAATCACTATAAAGAAGATGCTTTAATAAAAAAAGAACTTAGATCACCAGATCCTGTCCTTATTTATAAAAAAAAAGGTATTCTTCGGATTTTGGCTTAGGTGGTTATTTATTTTTTTGTAATTTAGTAGAGATGAAAGATAGTAATAAATCTACATTGAAACGATCCTCAAGGCGGAGATCTACCAAAGGAAGTGGGTCGATTCTGCAGAGTGCTATAGCCCGCAAGGAGAAATCTTACATTGACTGCAGTAAACCACAACGTCTGACAAAACGGATAAGATCCAAAATTAAAGTTGTGGAGGGTAACTCTTTTTTGAAATGAGATTAAACTTGGCATGTTCTGTGTCATATAATTTTAATTGACTAATAAATTGGCTCTAACTGTTTGAATTTATTTTTTAGAAAGATCAAGAAGAAACTTGGTTACCAAAAGACTTAAAAGCGGCAAGACTGTTAAAAACTTTAAATCATTCAGCGACAACGAAACGGAAACAGATTATAATGAAAGTCATTCTCAACAATTGGAGCCAAATTTAAGGAGGTCTGAAAGAATTTCATCAAGGTATGCTCTTCATATTTTACCTTAATAACTTAAATAATGTTTATTGCTTTATTATACAGTGACAGTAAAGATGAAAAAACTAAATCCATTAAAGAATTGTCCCTGACGAAGGATCCTGACCTTGAAAAGAAAATCTCAATATCAGAAGAGTTTCTCAAATCTAGGTTATGTCGTTGTACAGAGAATAATAATTTATTTATGAATACAGCAGAAAATGGTATGCTCTGTGATATATGAAACTGTCACGTCTCCATAAATTGGATGCATTTTAGAATCTGCATACTGCACGGCCATTGACAGTATTGACGACAAGCTAATAGGCTGTAGTAAACTGGTAGATTGTCTCTCAACACCCATATTGCGCCCTTCTCAGAGGGTACCCTATGGACTGCTATGTGATTTACATAAGAATAGACTGATTAGGCACAATTGTTGTCCCACTTGTGGAATTTTTTGCACTCAGGTACAAACCTTTTTTTTTTAGTTTCTTTATTTTCAACATTTAAAATCCCTAAAACATGATTCATTCATTGGTTCTGTAGTATAAATTGTACCTCCTTCTTTATCGTGTATTTCCTAAGAATGTTTTTATGGTTTTAGGGTCAATTTATGGAATGCGAATTGAAGCACCAGTATCACAAAGACTGTCGGCTGAGTGTGGGTCAGTCGGAACGTTGTCCGCACTGTGGATCTTTCGCGCCATGCACCGAAATTTTTATCACAATGCACACAACTAAAAAACCCATATTTTTGCCCACACAAAGATCTCACGAGTAAGTAGACCCCCCTGTCAAGTTTTGTTAACCTTTTTTTTTAAATAAATTATTTAGCAATTTTTAATTTGTTTTATTCATTTAAAGGGTTTTAAATGCTACTTGGATTTATTTTATAGAAAATAATATAAAAGCTACAGGAAGTAACAAAAAATAAAATGATTATATGTGGATAAAAATCAACTTCTTTTATTTTATGATTATTTTATTGATGGTAAACCCATCAATTTTTGAAGTTGGAATTGGAAGTAAAACTGCTTGAGGACTTATTGTATTTGCTTTTAATAAATTCGCGGAAATTTCAGTAAGTCTGTTAATAAAACTAGTTATGTAAACACGCAGCTGTAAAGGTAATTTGACATTTCAAATGTCACAACTGTTCCATCCTTACCTGGATATATGGTTGCATCTAAGTGACCAGATCTGTAGAAACCATTAGAACTGACATTAATTATTAATACTATCAGAAAAAAATCGAAATTTTTCTTGGCAAACTTGTCTCCAAGGCGTTTAAAATCACTTTGCCGGGTTTATAGTTTTTACGAGACCGCAAATCACTTTGCCGGGTGTATAGTTTTTACGAGACTGCGCGTGTTGCTGTCAATGGACACATTCTGACAGTCGATATAGGTAGCGTTCTTTAAATTTAAACGGACTGTCGCTTAACGTTTTTTATTGCAGCTCCTCCTCCAAAATGTCATTCGAACCTAGCAGAGCGTCTCCACCCAAGACGGATGATGTTCCCGATACTTTGCAGCTTTCGTTAATGGACTGCAGCCAAAACGATTGCAACGAACAAGATCTCCTCGAAGCCATCGCTGACGGCGACGAAGGCAAAGTTATTGCAACTATAGGTATAATATCAGCTATGTCGTAGATGTGGCTAACGAAATTCTATCTAGAAAAAGGATCGATCGACGTCAATTCAAAGTTTCCGGAATTGAATGATGGGACACTCTTACATTTTGCTTCACGCAGAGGCAACAAAGCGATCGTTGATTTATTGATTTCGGCACGAATTGAAATCGACGTGTTCGACCAGGAGCAAAACACGGCGCTGATGCTGGCGATCGTGGAGCGCAACAACGACATTGCGCAGTATCTGATACAGGCCGGAGCAGACATAACCTTAAAGGTAATTGCAAAACAAGCTTCGCGCAGATTTTATATCAGCACAAAAATAGAGCAGTTGTTTTGCAGTCCGATATCTATTTTGTGTGGGTTTATTATGTTTTTATAGTTATGCTCAGGGGTGTGTTGAGATTAGGATATCCAGGCAAGGTCCAGCGCAGGGCGTGGTTGACTGTCTAAACAATGCGAGAGCCATCGATACGCCAGAACAAGACCTAACCTATCCAATCTTTGGGGATCGAGTTGCAAGTTGCAATAATAGTTAAAAAAAAAACTATTTGATGAATGCGCCAGTGATACTGTATTAATAATTTGCTATTCGACACTTATGAGAGTGATTCATGTTCAAACTATCAGCATGTATTGCTTTTAGTTAATTTAGCAGCTGCAAGTGAACAAGAAACTTCGATATAATAATTTTTTAAATAGAATTGATTATGAAGAAGTTAATGAAGACTTTCAAAGACATTTTAGGTATGCCACTTAATATTTATAGCAGACAGAATGGGCATTGTCAATGCTCAATTTTATATATTATATATTACACGCACCTGAGGAGGGCCGAAACATAAAATCAAGCATTGACATAACCTATTCAGTGTCCAATAATGTAACATGGTTATTATAGGGAATGAGCGTAGGGAAATAATAGCAAGGAATTTAAATTTAAATTATGTAGGTCTTAAGAATCCAAATAAAAAGGTTAAAACCATATTTTTCCTGATTTCAATTAAAAAAAAAATTAATGTTACATTAAATTTTTAAAAGTTCCCTTCTAATTGAAGAGTCTTTATAACTTTTCTAAATTTCCGAGGAGAGTAATACTGAATTTAAAGAAATATGTACCAGGTAGTCCAAGTTGGACATTTAGAGGTTCTTGAACGATGATATCAAGATGTGGTCACAAAACCGAAAGTTTTATATCAAAATATGGTTTAACCTAGCAATAAGTCAATGACAAGCGACAACTTTGTATTAGGAAATTAGAGTAACAGAATTACAATTTAAAATCTAAAACGACGGAAAATGTTACCAAGATTATTTTTTTGAAACACCTAAAAAAGAAAAGGTATATATATCTAGCTAACTGGAAAATAAAATTTTCATAAAATATTTTGTCGAAATAAAAACTATTTTTCTCACTAGCCCTGTTATTATTTTTGCCGTTAAAAATGTTAAATATGTTTTTCTTGATACCTTTGTTCGCCTCTTTTTTCCTCATTAGATTTTTTGATAGTTTTGTAAACATTTGTTTGTGTTTTGGAGCAGGATTTTCTTTGTTTCATTTTTTCTATAACATTTTTAGAATATATCTGTATGTTCTCGCACTGATCTTATCAGTATTTTTCAAAAATTTCATCCAACTCCTCACATAGGCAAACGTAATTCGTTTTAATCCAGTATTCTTGTCTGACATGCTGTCTCTAAATTTCATCGACTTTGCCTTTAAATGTTTATTTTTGCATTAATCGGAAGTGTTATTTGTTTCGGCTCTTTTGAAACTATCCCCCAGTCTTTATTATTTTTTATTGTTGTGATTTTAAATAAATTTTGATTTTCTTTAAATAAATGAATTAGCTTTAGAATATTTTCTCAATCCTATTGTGCGGCGGTATTTTCATATTTTCGTCATAAACTAGATTTCCACATTCACCCGTAGCAAAGTTGTGAGAGTGGGTGGCCCATTCTCTCCATTTTAATTTAAACAAATAGGTTAGAGAACAATTATTGAAGTGCACATGTGGCACAATTTTTATCTACCTATTTCGTAGGATGCAAAATTTAGACCGCTATCTGAACCCAATTAATTTTAACTTACTGCAAGTTCAATCTGGAACGACCAGGGCACACCCGGACGACACCTGACATTCAATCTGAACACACCCCAGCTGATTGCAATTCTTTATCTGCGTCTGTGCGATTTCCGCAGTAGACATTGAGTTTGGAATTTGCTGATTTGCGAAAAATTGTTTTTAATTATTAAGGGAACGGACGGCATGACGGCCCTTCACGTAGCTGCGAAGTGCGGCAACACGGAAGCCTGCGAACTATTGCTGCGAGCTGGTTTCGGTATTCGAAACTTCGTCAACTTTCAGGACGACGGCGGGTGGACGCCTTTAGTTTGGGCGTGCGAAAATGGTCACGCTGACGCCGTCAAATATCTAATGTTGAATGGGGCGGACGTGCTATTGAGGGACGTGGAACAGAATTCGGCGATTCACTGGGCCGCATTCGGTGGCAGCACTGAAATAGTAGAACTGCTTTTGAACTGGGGATGCGACGTCGACGCTATGAACGTTCATGGCGACACTCCGCTGTGAGTAATTTTTTAACGAGTTTGTTTTAGTATGTTTATATAGATATGGCAATATTAGGGTATTTTTGATTTACGAGATGTGTTCAAAAAGTAAGGTGACTTTTAAGTTTTATCAAAGAGTATTTATTTATCAAAATTAATGTTGTCTCCTTCAAAGCAATCGCGCCCAGATATCATACACTTGTGCCAAGGTTTTTTCCAATCTTCGAAGCACTTCTGGTAAACACTTTCTGGTATAGCCTTGAGACTGTATTGCATTTTTTACACAAATTTTTTTATGCAAATTCTATGTTCCATTTTTTTTCTACAGCAGAAAATCGCCTAGCACACAAAATTGTAGCAACACAACAAAAAAATATATCGAAAATCGAATGTTCTTAACCCGCCCAGCTTACGTTTTGAACACATCTCGTATAATTTATTTTGCAGCATCTTCGGTAGCATCAAAAATCAGAAAGTTTGTTAAAAAAATAACTTCAGTTTTTTTAGCCAAAATCACAATGACTTTTTTTGGTTTTATAGAATTCTTAATTATCAAAGTCAGGTTAATATTGATAATATATTTTTTTGGAAAATGTTCTTTGAAAATAATTAATTTTGGCGATAGCTTTTCCGCTAGATGGTTCTTCTATTTTCCTTTCTTTTTAATTATTTCTAAGTTTGTAATAAATCCTAAAGAACTGAGCAAACCCTTTTTTTTAATGCTGTTTTGTCGTCTAACGTTGGATTCAGTTTTTTGTACGTGACTGAATCATTTGTGGAGAGTTTCATGTCATATTAATATTTCATGTCAAATAATATACTTGTCAGAGTTATGTGAGATCGACTTTAAAATACTCGCAAACGGCATCGAAAAATACAGTTTTATTTAATAAACGTTTGATATTTCACAGGTTGATTTCTGAAGTATTCTCAGTGAAAAAGTCGCTATAAAAGTATAGCCTCCTTATTTCGCTTTCGAGATACAGGGTGGCAAAGTCTTATTTTAGGTTGTTGTCTGCGTTATTTCCTAAATAATGCATATTTATGATCGAGAATTGGTGACGCGTTTGTGAATCTGTTTTCAATTTAGTTCTTACTAGTAGGGGGCGCTACCTACAAGTCTCTTCTCACCTCACCCTGTGAAATGTCGGACATTTATTAAATGACACCCTGTATATTTTTATAAATTTGCGGTAAATTCTTCTGCAAAAATACGTGCAAATCTAACCAAAGCTTTTAATTTGATTATAATTTATTTTTATTAAAACGTTTAATTAATTTAATTAAACAACTTTGTTGCTAAAAACTAATTTTTTGAAGCTTCAATTATTTGAACTTTAATTAATTATGATTTTCGTGATACAAAAAATCGAAGCGAACTAACCAACAAAACATTAAAGATAAAGTAGAAAAAATACACCTAACGTGGTGGAAACGAATTGTTTCCTTCCAAAACAATTACTGAGAATGTATTTCCAAACGGTTAACGCATAGTTCTTATCTGAAAAATGGTGATATAGGGCACTACAACTAAAATAAAGATATCTACATGTTTTTGCTCATTTAATTAGGCACTTGAGCGCGCGGGAGGACAAATCGGAATGTGTCACCCTTCTTCTGTCGAGGAGAGCAAACGTAATCCTGACCAACAAAAACAACGAGACCCCATTAGAATGCGTTCCCCGAGACGGGTCAAGTTACAACGCTATAGCTTTAAACGTTCGTTTACAGCCTAGTTTTCCGAAAAAGTCTCCACTCTTGACAAAGTGAGTTGCAGATTAGTTGATTGCTTCAACTCTCAATCAATGGGTTTTTTTATAGCGACATCTCGCGGGGTAGAGAACAAAATCCGATTCAATGCGTGAACGAAGTCGACGACGAATGCGAGCCTAGAGACTATTTTTACGTACGAAAAATTTGTTCATCCTCTCCCAACGTTACAGTGGACACGAACATGGCGAAGGTTCAGTTGTGTTCGTGTGAAGATCGGTGTATGTCTACCGAATGCAATTGTAGCAGACTTTCGACGCATAGATGGTATGAAGCGGATGGAAAGTTGATACCAGAGTTTAATTTTGTCGGTAAATAAAGTCTTTATTCGGGTTTGTGCCATTCTAGAACTGTCCAGAGTGTGCGCAGTCGACTTTTTTTTTGGTAATATTCGTTTGCTTGTACTAACCACTAAAAAGGAGAGAACTGATTTAATTGTTCAAAAATTGATTCTATGGCTAATTGAGGTTACATTCAAATACATTTTTCTTAATAAAAATATTTAGACATCGAAAGGGCCTTGGAATCAATCTTCTTCTTTAGGTGTCTTATTAATTACTTAAGGTTGGCGACAATGGCAACAAACTCCTCTCTATTCCTTGTCGTTCTCAATAGGGTGGATGAGTCTAATCTTGTCCACTCTCTTAAGTTGTTAAGCCATTAACATTCTCGACTTTCGGCCCTCTATCATTCCTTCCATGAATAGTCTCAATAGTTGATATTCTCTGTCTGTTCTTATCATTCTTATAACATTCTCATTTGTCATTAGTTTTGGTTAGTTTATGTTAGTCTATGGAATCTTCAAAAGTCTGCGAAAGACCCGCATTTCAAATCTTTCCAGTCGTCCCTGTTCTCTAATTCTTGTTGAAGTATAGACTCATAGTAAATGTTAAATAAAAGAGGTGAGAGAATACACCCATGTCGTACACCTCGTCTTATTGGTGTTTCTGACGATACGATGTCACCAAACCGAACGAAGTCAGTCTGTTCCCAATATAAATTTTTTATTAGTTTAATGTGTGTGTGTTTTTCTCTCGAATATATCTTGCCCATTCGTCTTGAATTTCTTCCAGGTCTGTAATTATCTCATTATTTTCTGTTTTGAGGAATTTGGTCTGCTATACTTTTTTCCTTGTCCCTGTAATTCTCTTAACTAGTTTATATATATTAAACTGATCATGCTTCTCTTGTAGTTCCTCTAGTTCCATGGACTTGTGATAAATAAGTGAGCGGTCTATTTAGCAGCAGAGTTATTTCAGTTACAAAATAATATTTAAATATTTTAATAGACTCACCTTTTGCCTGGAGTTGTTAGGTTTTTTTTATGAACGTGTTAAACAATAAGCCAAAAACCGGATTTGAATTAATTTCATCAGCGCAAGCTTCTACTGTTGCTTTTTGAACATTTTCCCCATTTCTTTATAAAAGAGTCTGTGCCAAGTACAGGTTTACACTTCCAATTGCCATCTTTCGCGATTTCGACTTTATTTACATATTTCATTAAGGTTAAACCAATAAGTTTAAGAAAACAAACGCTTTGCGCCGATTTTTACGCACAAATTATAAATTATTTTGTAATCAATATGGCTGTTAACATGTTGCAAAATTTTCATGAAAAAATACATAGTGTCTAACGGGCTTTGCATTCATTATTCATCGCCATCATCCGCCCACCTCTTGCATCCACTGTTTCCCGCCGTTTTTCTCGGTCGTCTTCCCATCTTGTTGGGGGTCTATCCCGATTTCTCTTATTTTCCAATCTTTTGATCCACCTATTGTCGCTCAAGCGCGCCATATGAACAGCCCATCTCCATTTGCCTTGGATAGTTTTTGTATGACATCTGTTATTTTAGTTTTGTGTCTCACTAGCCTGTTTGGTACCATGTCTCTTCTTGTAATTCCCAACATTGCTCTTTCAATTTTTCTTTGATTTACTCTCAACTTATCTCAGGACTTTTTAATCAACGTAAGCGTATCCGAGCCATATGTGATTTGGTGATGAATTTAATAAAATTAATTTTAAAACCTACTTTTTAGTTGTTTAATCATTTGGAGGATATCATTTGAACTTTCTGCTGTAATGACAATATCATGATGATAATATTCATTATTTATATTAACGAAATTTTCTTAAAAGTCCTGAGAATGCAAAAGCTGAGACAAAATCAATACCGCCGATTTTAACAAACCTACACTCTTATCATTTTATGATATTTCACTCTTGTCGTTAATCTTCTTTTTCTTGGACCGTTCTGTCGTACAAGTAATTAATTAGGCTCACGTGATAAAGTGCACACCTAGTTCTGCGCAAGTCAAAAACTGGATTGAGAACCCACAATATCCACAAATGGCATCGTAAAATCATAGAATTATTTTAGACGCGCCACTAATCTTTGAATGCAACGAACTATGCTCGTGTAACGCCATAACGTGCGTTAACAGAGTACTGCAAAAAGGGTCGACGCACCGGTTTCAACTGTTCAAAACTGCCGCCAAAGGGTGGGGTGTAAAGACCCTTAATGCGATTTCCAAAGGCAGTTACGTGTGCGAATACGTTGGCGAAATCCTAACCGACAAGGAAGCTGACCGCAGGGAAGACGACACTTACTTATTTGACCTTGACAATAGGGTAAGTTTGGCCTACGTATGACGTGGGGTTCGCTCGATTCGCACCTTTTTAGGAGAACGATTCGTTTTGCGTAGATGCCAAGTTTTACGGCAACGTTGCCCGGTTCGTAAACCATTCCTGTAATCCGAATTTGCACTCGATCAAAGTTTTCGTGGATCATCAAGACAACAGGTTTCCTCGAATCGGTCTGTTCGCCAAATGCGACATCATGGCTGGAGAGGAGCTCAGGTAAATAACTTTCACTGTTTATCCAAAGGAGACTCGATACAAGCACTTAAAGTTTACAGAGCCAAGAGCGTATTAAAAATTGCTTACTTATAAAAGAAGTTAACAGCTATTTCATTATTTTACATAACAGCCTATATTACCTGGGTTTTGAATTCCGGTGAAAAAATACTAACAAGCTCTACATACATTTATATACAATAAAGAAAAAGAGAAACTTAATTCACACTTTAAGACTTATGTTTATAATAACATTTTGCATTACTTTTAAAATTTATATCAACTGAAGTTATGTGACAATAGTTTACATTACAAAACTACATACATTGATATAAAGAAAAAGAGAAATTGAATTGCATACTTTAAGACCCTGTGTCTTAATAACTAAGAGTTTTTCGACTTATGTTGATAAGAACATTTTGCCTTAATTTTAAAATTTACATCAACTGAAGTTATGTGTCAAAAAACTGAAGTAAATATAGTAGAAATGCCAATTAATTCACAATTTTTTCTATCGCATTCAGATTCCTAGACAATTGTATCCTTGACTTGTGGAGTCTCCTTTGGATAAAGTGTTATCATTCTTTACTTTATGTTGCTTTTAGCTTTGATTACGGCGACAAGTTCTGGTTAGTGAAATACAAATTGTTTACTTGTGAATGTGGCGCAAGTAACTGTAAGTATTCAAGCGAAGCAATACAGGCAACTTTGGAGAAATATCTCGAATCTTCCTAGGAATGTAGCTCCGTATGATTATTATGTAGTCATATCAATCATGGTTACCTCGCCTAATTTGATTTGAAATTACATTGATTTTTTAGGCGGAAAATCACTGTCTCCATAAAATAAGTATCCATATCACATAGGGCTTAAGCTTAAGCCAAAAAAACGACAAAAAGCATAGACTCAGTACAAATAGGGGACTTGTTTTAAGTATCTAGTCATTTTTTCATGTTTACTTTTTATATTGTTTTTACTCCAGTAAATGTTTATACTCTGGACCGTGGTTTTTTTTATTGTTGCCTATGGAGCTAAATAGTCGTTTAGGAATAAGGAAGTTAAAATACTTGCAAACAAGTCAAAAACTTTATTTTAAATACTGATCGTAAAATGACGCATTGTTCGTTGTTGACTGACAACATGCCAAAATTATTACAATAAAAATGTTTAATTGACCCCGAGACGAACATAACATGGAGACAATGTCATACCTCAGCGAGATATTAGAAATTATGTAATAAATTGTAACAATGTTTTGTAATAAATAGGTAGAGTTCTCCAAAAGATATACCGTTTTTACAACCTTTTATGGTATTGACTTCGGAATGAGTTTAAGACCCGCCTATTATAAAGCGGCAGGGACCATCATTTTCATAAGCCAGGGCAGTATTTAAGATGTTAGCCGACAAGAACTGTGCCGGGCGGGCTGTTGTATTTTAAGAGTAGGATTTAAAAATAATAATGGATTTTTCACTCCATGGACTAATAATATTCGAGGAATCTCACCTGTGAAACAAATCCGTCAGCTTTCAGTATTTGTATGCATGAATTACCGAAGTACGGTTCTGGAAAGTCATTTTGGAATTACGAATCTATTTATTGAATTTTACAAAGAGAAACCCAGCGAGGAAGGCCTGCCGTTAGACCTTCACGAAAATTTACACACAAAGTTAAATACGATTATGTCGTAAAAACGGTATAACGTTTGATGACCTCTGCTGGTATGCAATTTCATTTTTAAATTTCCAAAGGGTTGAACTTGTGGGTTTTCACTAAAATTTCATTATCAAATGCAATGATATAATCAAGTTAGTATAATTCTTTGAAAATTCCATAATTAATTTTTGTAGACATGAGAAATAGCAGAACTATTTTTAGCAATATTGAAATTGTTATATTATGCAAATCTGCGAGAAACTTGTGAGAAATCACATTTTCCATGTTATTTCCCCTCGATCGACCACTAAATGAGTTTTGCTACTATCTAACAAAGCAATGGCACCATCAATATCTCTCAAATGCACATATTAGAGGTGTTCAAAGAAAAACGCCATAAAAATAAAACTGCCTAAAATCAGTCAATATAAATTTATATAAATAAAAAATATTTGTATAAATGGCTGCGGTGTATAAACTAATCTTTATTTAAGTGCACTCGGTATTATTTCTAAATCAGAAATAAACGTTTTATATTAGTTAACAAGGTGAAAATCATTTCTGAGCATAACAACAATAATAACTGCATCAATCGAGTGTATTTTTTAACTCAGTGCCCGAAGTGAACGATATTAAGCATCCCAATTAAGTTATCAATTGATATGTGAATTTAAAGCTACTGCAATGCGTTCATGTTTGTATGTATCACCAAGATTATAAATATAATACCCAAAATTGCGGAAATATTTTTAATATTGCACCCTTGAAAATAACAAATATGTCACATTATTACGAGACATAGGTTGCCAATAAAGTATTCGTACATCTACTTACTGAAGAAAAGAAATTTTAACAACACCGTCGACTGTTCCACACTTAATTTACACTCACTCGTTACCTCAGTTGTCATTAAAATTAAATTAAATATCTCTAATATAAAGTTTAAAGCTTCCTCTATAATATCGTAAATCAAGATCTGATAGGCAAGAAAACAAGGTAACAGAGTTCTATACCAAAAAACAATATCAAATTTTTGATGTTTACAACTACCCAAACTACTACTTTGGCACAGATTTATCAAGACCACATGTGAATAACTATTTCAAATACATATTTTTTATAGTACTTATTTGTTTGTACCTACTATTAATTAATTAAACAATGCATGTACTTATTACAATATATGAATTGTTTATATGCTAGTTTTATTTTTTTTTTAAAGACATTAGTCAAATTATTTTGTTGCGAAATTTATTCTTTTGGGCATTTTTTGTTCATTATCTCTAAGAAATTATTTTTTAAAAGACAATAAATAAAGCAAATTGAGTAAAGCTGATTTATTAATTAGGTGCTTTGATTTAATTCTGAATGACACTTAAAAGTAATTAAAAGTATTTTCAAGTAAAAAATAACTATTCTAGTGTTCGAGAAATAGTTCTAAAATACTGAGAAGTCCAGTAATGAAAAGAGAAGATGAATTAATAAAGCAAACAAATTTATTTAAATATACAAATTGCGTTAAATAGTGCAATGAATTTTAATAAAATAAAAATCTATTTCATTTATAGGCAGCAGACATATGGCCTTGTTTTTCTATTAGATAAGATCACATCAGTGCATTGTGAGGATATAAAATTAAAAGTCATAGTAAACATCTGCTGCTGTACCTGGCTGGTTGAATCTCAACTTCTCAGATATTATAGATATACATGATTTGCAATTGTGCCATCTTTTGATGAGAAAAAATCCGTCTCAACAAAATCTGTGCCACCTATAGGAGACAGGACATATACTATTCCCAATCCTTCGACCTAATCACTGGCTTTTTTATCGCGGGAATATCGGGTGTCCTATGATAATTTTTTGCTGCTCGTGATTTCTCTGTTGTTCAAAAGCAAGAAACGAAAACAATTTTCTTGGCCAGCTATTTCGCCAAAAGTTCATCACGCTTTCATCCTAGTCAAAAATTTAAAATAAAAAAGATTACTCATTTTTTCATTTTGGAGGAAGTGTTTAAAACTTATCCACACCAAAACACATTTTGCAGTACGAAAACTGTACAGAATTGCAGAAACAGCATGCTACCCATACCATAATTTGATCACAGAATTCAAATGAGATTATTGTGCTTCGTGATAGTCGTTCAAGATGCAAACAGGAATGCAGATTTATTAGAATTTCTCGATTGCAGTCTTATTTAATTGTATACGAAGTAAGGGGATTGAAATCGCGAAGCTTGGGCCCTTTCGTCTTAACATAGCCCCACAATTTCATAGCTTCTTCGCAAGTGGCTTCAATCGACTGTATCTCTGTATAGTTTAAGTCGTTTTTCCAATGAAACGGAACGTTCTTGGAGTCCCGGTAAGTGCTGGACACACCACCTACATTCACTGTTGTGTGCGTATCCAGAAACTCCTTAATTTCAGGATGGACGTTGATACCTATCCAGTCGAATAAATCCTGTACGACTTTATAAGGGCTTAACGAAAGATCCTCATATCGAAGAGTCCTAAAGAATAACAATAAAGTAATCCAATGAAATTTGCATATTTGATTACTGACTTAAAATTTGTGAAAACATATTAAAAGATGGTAGATATCAAAAGCCGTCAGATTTTTTTTTACCTAGGCGTTCGTAATATAATTAAAATATTAAAATAAGAGCTGCTTGCTGAAATGTCAGTCCCATTTGATTGCCCCTCGAATCAAAATGTTTGTTTTCTTTACTTAGAATTAATCTTGTTTTTATTAAATTACAAAAAAAGGTAAGATATTTTTTTAAAATGGAGCTGTTAAATTTGTGCGCATTTATAAAAAATTCCTACATTAAAATTTATTGCTCCAGGCGATAACGCGGAAAATAAAATTTGTAGGTAATTATGTTTAGCTCATAATCCTATTATTGCATAACGTCATTAATTCGTTAAAAACAAACTATAAATACGATTTTTATCATTATCGCCAGATCACAGGTATAACAGGAAAATAACATTTCAATTTCAAATTGTATGCAAATATAATATAATTGGCGCCATTTTAAAATTATTACAAATATATTAAAAGGAACAAGAAATGTAGATCTCTAAAATCACAGTTAACAATAAAATACAAAAGAAGTTCTAGTCGAACAAGATACTTCAAAATCTTAAAATTTGCTATAAAAAAGGATTTCAGCTAAACATGTTTTGAAAAAAAAAATGGTTTCGCATTTCACTTTACCGCCGCTCGTCTACGAAAGTTATAAAACACCGTGAATAACAGGAAGAAAACATTAATAATAATCACATACCTGAATCTTCGAGAATACATCTTATTAAATTTGATAGCTGCACTATAGTCTGACACCATGTCGGCACAAAGCAAATCGGGTCGATCACAGTCGGGTTCGCCAGGGCACCAGTCCCGGTGCCTTCTTGATTGCAGAGTTCCTCTGGGATCTCTGACAAGTAGGATTACCTTGGTGTTTAACCTGACACAGGTTAAATACTTTTTATTAGAACAAATCAGTGGTAGCATATTAAACATTTCATAATTAACACCTGCCTCGCAATTTATTCTGTATTTATTTTTTACGCAATTTTCCATTAAACCATGCTGTATACTTGGTGTTTCAAATTCTTAAAACTGGTGTATTCTTAGAAATAAAAAAAAACTACCAGTACTTTTGTAGAAATTAGCGCGGTATTTGCTTCTTCTCAAACCATCTTCAAATTATGTCTTTTTCGCAATTTTATTAAGATTTTTACCTTGTTGGAATTGGCGCGGTATTTGCTTTTTCTCAAACCATCTTCAAATTATGTCTTTTTCGCAATTTTATAAGACTTTTATTGAGATTTTTACCTTGTTGGAATGGTTTATTTAAAAAAAAAACTACAAATAACCGAATGGGAATTCAGCACCGATAACATTATGAGTAGCTATCAAAACTACCTTCTACACCGGTTACAATAGTAAATAAAAAAAAATCGATTACTCCAAACAATTGTAACTCAATTGCAATTTTAACAGTCTACTAAATTATTCACTTTGTGTCCCCTTTTATTAGCGTCCAGCTAAAATAAAGAATGTATATTTCTACCAAAACAGGTTATTAAGAAGCCAAGAATATTTAAAATTCCCTAAATGTCATTGGCATTAACATATATTTCCTACCAGGATACTCATGACTCTTCATTTTGTAGAATCTATACAAAGGCAATGTACCCATATTAAGAGTCAAGGTTGATCTGAACACAACAAAGCTTAATTCGTTGTTCATTTCCTTTATTTTTATTTAACAAAACAAAGTTAATGTGAATGATATTCGCAAATATGTGTCATGTGTAAAATGAATGGCAATTATTACATGGGACAAAGTTTTAAAAAAATGAAAAACATTTCTAGCATTACAAATATAAAATACTAACCTTTTATCACTGAGCAATTCTTCAATGAGTCTTAGCCTAACCCGAACTACTTTCATTGACTGAAAGGGAAACAGCCTACAGAACTCATTTAAAAATGTTGCATTCCAACAGTACTGCGGATAAGCCTCGCACTGAGTCCATAACCTCTTATTGTGAGTAAATAAATAAATATGGGACATTCCAAATGTTAAATAATTTTCTAAATCTGTATAGTCACAGTTGAGCAAATTTTTTAAGGTTTTGATAGCTGTATCAGCATGGGGCGGTCCTCGAATTTGCATGATTCCATAATGCAACAGGGGCTCATAATGATAGTAATTTCCCGGCAGAGAGTTAAGTACGTCTCCCAAGAATGTTGATCCTGATCTCCAAGTTGTTACAATAATTGTTCGAAGTGGCTGGCCTCCTGACAACATTGAAAGTTTGTTGAATGTTTTGTTTGTGACAAATTTGAATACATCGAATTTTCTTTCGAGCCTTAGCCTTTGAGTATCTATAATTTTATCAATGGATATGTCTTCACCTATAACATCCACGTCCTCAAACTCTATTGCTTGGAAATTGTGAGAAATCCGCACTGTGTCAGGCTCCTTAGTACAAAATACTATGAGAAGAAAGCAAATTAAGGCCACAATGGCAATTCCGTATACCCCCTTTTTTCGAACCATTGTCTCTCTATTCTATGAAGTTAGTTGACTCAAAGTTTGAATTAAGACGGTCTGAAAATGCTGCTCCAATTTCATTTTATGTTCTCTTCAAAATTGGTCCTGAAGTATTATCACATTGTCTCACTCTAGATATGCAAAACAATGAACGTCGATGGTCATTGCATATTCACCCCGAATTTTAGAGTTTTTGCTTGGTTTCTAAACTTCGTTAACCTCACACGGAGACAAAATTCGCACTGACCTAAAGTTTACCAATGTCCTCCGTGTACTGCCAGAGAAATAAATGAACACAAAGCCACCCACAGAATCTTGTTAAATATTGGTCAGTTAGTTACTATTGACTTTTAGGCCACTGAGCCATAAAGTGACATTGTCCAATGTATTTTGAAAAAAAGGCGTCACGGTTATGCTAGTCGCGGATAGATGGCACGGAGTTACAATTTCAAATGTTATTTACAGCTTCAATTTTTTTTATATCAAATTGATTTATTACTTTTAGTATTTCATTTGTTAATGTCCATTGTGACATTTTAATATATACATTTTTAGTGGCATTTGATTGTCTAAGGTCATCATTTAATAAGTAATTTATATATATAATTTTCTAATTAATTAATCTCGTTTAGGGGAAAGATAGGCCTATGCAAAGTCCCAAGAGAAAAATAAACCAACTAAACCTTCAATACCTTCTTATTTACCATGTTCAATAACGTAAAGCATTTAACATGTCAGCTGCGTAGGTGCCTGGAAAATTGTGATGTTTGCTTTTATTTATTACCCTTAATAATCGCTCAGATTAATAATTTAGGTCAATATGCCTTAAATAATTCTCTAAAGTAATCCATTGAAATCGAAGGAGACATACAAGCAATACGGCCCTGCGCGAAAATTCTTATTGAATCGACGGGGACTGGTTCAGATATATTTCTGCTGTGCGTCCTGTTCAGTGGTAGGTTTGATCGCTTGTTGTGGAAGAAGCGGACATGTCTTTGTCACACTAAAATAGTTCCCAAGTGTTTGAATGGGAAATGTAAACCAATAGACTGAGGAAAATGTGAAAGTAAACTGACGAGTGCCGGTAGTTTGTTTAGTTCGTTTGAAAATAATTGAATAAAGTTCGTTTCAATCAGTTTTTCGGCATTAATTTTTTCAGTTTTACAATACACACCAGTTCATCTTGGGTAAGTTGACGGTATTATTGTTTAGTTTTGTGTGTTAGTACACTTCGTACAATTGAATGTAAGGGGATGGAAAAAGCCACCCTGAATAGACGTGGCAATTTCATGTCCTGTCCTTTAGAGTCAATTTTTACCAATTTTTTATTTGTCAATTTGCACTAATTTAGCACGTATTTAATGTTTTTTTTATCTTAGTCGGATTAAAATTGTCAAATAAAATTCCAAAATTATAACGCTTAATAACCAGCTTTTGTTAGTAAATAATTAGTTCCATTTGTCTCTCGACTTAGATATTCACAAAGCTACAAACTATGTCCAGATTGACAAATACTATATTCAACCAACTTGAAACCACAGATTTTACTGCTTTTTTATTTACCCACCAGTTTCGAAGCTGTTTTTATGTTTTATGGTCTCATAAAGTTATTATTTTTATGCTGTTTACAATGCGTGAGAAAATATGTCCAAAAATTAAAAAAAGAGACATACCGACGAAATAACACTTGGGTGACTCTCATTGATACAGTTATCTAACAATCCAGAGGATCCGTGCCAAAACTGCCATGGAAACCATCGAGTGCAGAAGCAATAATAATATAATTGTATTATCTCAAATACGCCCGCCTTTTCATTTATCTCGCTTCCGTTTCCTTATAGAGTTGCCTCACAAATTAATTAATTAAGGCGTCCAGCTCGGTCGCCATTAGTAAATTGCGAGAACTCGATATTAAGTATGTTTGCGGTGGGCGTGCTCCGTATCAGGGACAGCATGTAACCGGTTCACTTGACGGGGGGTTAAAAATAACGTCTCTGTAATTTGATTTACTTGATGTGGTGAAGTACCACCCACTCGAAACCCCGCAAGAGTTAACCCCACTCACTACCTTTCGGCACGCGAATAATACTTAGCAGGTAATTGAAAAGCGAAAGTCTTATCTTCAAGAGATAAGAGATTTATTAACTGCTTTTCGCACTTTTAACAATAGTGTGATCTTAAAATCTTACCGAGGATGTTGCTCTTACAGACTTACTAGAATAATTTTTTCTGGTTAGATGTAAGTTAGACGTATACCATAATAACCATTATTTTAAGAAAAATTTTCACAATCTAATTTTATTTGTAACGGGTTGTTAATGAATATTATTAAAAATATGCAGTTGTTCATCCAAAACACTCTGAAAAATATAAAGCTCGCTATAAAGTTAACTTCTCTTTTAGCTGCCGTCAGTCCATCAAAAACAGTTCCGAGAGGTCACCTCACCACATGCTCATGAATCTTATCCATCTGTGATAAAAGAACAGCTCGGGACAATAATTGAAATTAAACCCCCAACAAATAGGCAAACTAGACCATTCATTCATTCAAGTATTGTGTATTAACATAAAATTTGATATTTGGATTTGTACAAGGAAGCTTTCACCATTTTCTATGAATTTTACAAAGATTATAAAATTATTTATTTTATTATAATTTATTGTGGGCCCTCCTTAACAGCATTGAAACTCGAGATCATTTACTCTTTAACTTTTCGAAATCTTTGTGCTTTCATCGAGCGATGCAACGTTATGAAACTAACATATCGTGTGGGTAATTAGAATTAATATTGCGCAAATTGGTTGGGTATGATTATTTTACAGTCAAACGTATAAAACGAGGGAAATGGACATGAAGGGGATCATCGAGAACGCAAGCTTTCATTCGAACCATTTCGTATGGTGAAAGGCCTTTTTGTCGGACGGTATCTTCAAATCCATTCGGTTTCTTTCACTGAATTTTCCTCTATTTCCTTTCAGTTCCCTCCCGGTGATGTGCTTTCGAACCGTAACGCACCGAAACCAGCTATAAACTAGCTTTCTATAGTAAAAGTGACGATCGGTAAAAAATACTCGTAGAAGGATGCTATTAATAAGCGAATTCAAATCAGTTTAATTACCGAATCAATTGCGCTCGTTGAATAATTCATTACGCAGGCAGGCAAAAATGGGCGGAGATTGAATCGGTCCATTTTCTGAATCGCCACGCAATCGATTCTAAACTTTACTCAGATGAGGATTTTCATTAAGCCGGCAATAAAACTACGCTTAAAATTGTTTACATAAACACACGTTTTCGAAATTCTGGACGATAGCCAACAATCAATTCCGGGCTTACACTTTTTCGTTTGCAGGTATTTTTAGTCTATGTCCAAATTATAAACTTAAATAACGAACTACTTTAATTGAACGGGATGATGCAAAATTTACAGTTTTAAGAAATACCTATTTATAAATTATTTTAGAAATTGTGGACTTGGTGGTTGGCAATTACGTCATGATTTTAAATGGGACACCTCATACATTGTCGCTATGCTTACTTTATTATAGAAATTTATAAAATTAAAGTAAAAAACCCTCCAAAATTTCAGATTTGTCAATGCGATCTATTCTTTTTCTTTTTAATTTTAACGCCTAAAAATTATTGGCGCGAATTACACAAGTTTTTATTTAGTTAAAATAGTTAATCAAATTTTTTGAACAATATGTGCAATTTAACATACCCACTTATTAAATTATGCATATAAAAAACTTTTACTACCCAATTGTGCGATATGTGCCGTGTTTTAGATAATTAATCGTGATTAATGGCTGAACAAACGACTTTCACCGAAATATATTGTCGATTTCATTTTGACATATTGGTACCAGTACGAGTGAAATGTAACCTCTAATTTCTAAAGCGGAATTTTTAAAAATATCTGTTCTCTATATACTTATATACGTATAATCTTATGGAAACTATACTCATTTATTTTTTTAATAAAACAACTACTTACGGATATACAGTGTGTCCAATTAAATCGTTACCATATGGGAACTTATTCTTTATAATGTTGAAATCGGATATAAATATTTTTGCGCTCGCAAATGTAAAGACGCTTATTTTAGAGAACATCGACAATTACAATTATTAAAACTTTTTATTAAAAAAAACGATATTTTCAAAAATAAAAGTACGTTTGCATAATATTAATATTGTTTACCCTCTACAAAGTTTATATCTGTTGGTTGCAATTCAAGTTTTAAAAAAACGCACTTTTTGTAAAGATTTTTTTCATAAAGCTAAAAATAAAAAAGTTTTATATGTTGCCGAGTTTACTTGGACACACTGTATAAGAGAATACTGCGGCAATGAACCGGGCTTTATTTTATTATGCATATTATGATTCATATGAATAATTATGAGTTTTGTGATTAGTAGGAAAAATCCGTCAAATGAAAATTTGGGTTAACTGAACAGCTCGCTGGACACGGTCGGTTGCGGTAAACTTCGCCCACATCTCGTTCAGCTGTCTAAAACCCAGTCTGAAAATGAAAATAACCTTCGCAGTAGTTCTTCGATCTTCGTTTCCCGCCGTGGCAAATCCGTCTCTGGGCTTTTGGTTCTGATTGTTTCTGCAGGGAAATCGAAACGCACGCGCGGCCAAGTGATCGCATCTTCGACGGACTCTCCTCTCCGATCATTCACATCCACTTTGGTTAATGGTTTTTGCCGGAGCGGGTGCTGGTTTACGAGCAGACATCTTGCAGTTTCAACGGCGGCGCTCGGTTTTTCTCGGAATCCGAAACGTAATTAATGTAAAACCAAAGAGGCGGACAAACTTCTGCGAATCCGGGAATTTTACTGCTGTGTGGCGTGGTCGGCTCAGCTTCCGCCTGTAAATTGTTATTGCGAGATTATTTGTCCGGGACAAGGCGGCCAAATTTTTGCAGACGAAAATACCGGACCGTATGATGTGCCTCAAAATATGTCGTGGTGCCTTTTGACAGATCGTTCCCCAAAAAGTAATTTCTACCTTCGTATACTTCCACCAGAAATGTAGTGCTTTTACAACCCACCCCGTGATTGACTTTGCCTACTGATTATTACTCCAAAACCCCTTTTAGAACACCCTGCTAAGCAGACCCTTACCCGTACCCATTCCAGGACCGTCCTAGGAATTTATCTACCTACTGCTAAAACTTACCAAAACGAACAAGCGGGATATAAGTATGTTTTCAATCTTTTTTGCCGAACAATTCTGGAAACATGTACATAATTTTTTTTTCTTGCAGTTAACTTCGGAACTTTGGTCATGTCACTTGTTTTTGTTTCTGCTCCTACTTCCCCTTGCGAATTTCTTATAAAATTGTAAACATTAAAAACAATTTCTTTAGCATCCAGATAAATGGATCTGTTTTTTTATTTGCTGCGGTAGTTCGTCTTCTAAATTATCATTAGGTTGTCTTGATTGATTCTATCTTGATCTGTATTCTTATGACGTACCTTTATCTATAGCGAATATAATCTATAGTCTTAAAAAAGACAGTTGTTGTTTACAAATCGAAGAACTGTGTACAAGACATAAAAATACTGTTATTGTTCAGCAATTTTCACTAACACAATTTTTCGGTAAAATAAAACGTCGAAAGATGACTAACACTGTGTATTTTGTAAAAGAAACAAATTATCCCGACATTCGTAGTACCGCAAAAAGTTCTTTTCACTTATGTGTGCGACTTGGAAACCGACCGTCTCTCGTCTCCTTAGAAGCAAAGGCACCCTGCCGCGGAACTTTATTATAAGTTACAAGCATGCGCACTAACTGAAAACTGTGACATTAAACAAAATATTTAACAAATACAGAAGAAAGAAGAAAAATGTTGTTAATCGCATACAAAACAAAAATGATTATTTTAAAACTTACCCGTAAGATAAATAGGGTACAGCTACTTTACCTTTACTCTTTAAACTATCCAGGGAAAACAGCCTCTCAATTTGACAGGTCGAGAATCAGGTACATAAATACGTACTTACTGATGTTAAAATAAACTCTTCTACTTATTCGAAAATACCCCGCAGCATCAATACTTAATCAAATTTAAAACGGTCCATTTAAGTTTCAAATAAAAATTTCAAGTTTCTACAAATATTCGTTACGGTCCATCTCAGGCAAGACCTACTTAATGCAGAATAAACATCTGT